CCCCCCACTCCAACCCTTCTGGAATACCGAGTGTAGTCCATTGTTCCTGGGGGTAGATATCTCGTAATTGGGAATGAGAATTTTATTAATTTTCCCTCTTTGTTATCTATTATTATTTACGCCAGCTTTTTATTGGGAATTAATTTTTTTTTTTCAACGGATGCGTGCAGACAGGGGATGATCATGTGAAGAACTGAAGTTCAATTTATATTTTTGCATTCGCATCTTTCAATTATTATTATTATCATTACTATAATTATTATGAGGAACCGAAAATATATTTTTGAAATTGAAAATTTGAGAATGAAAATTTTTATTAAAAAATTTCCCCTTTCGAGTTGAACAATTAAATTTTAATAATTATAATAAATAACAATTGTTATTATTATCACAATCCTGGGGAGGAAAAAAAACAAAGGACCAAACAGGTGTGCATGAAGAACAAAATGAAAAACAATGGGAAATTATTAAAAAATTGTTGACTGAATCAAGGAGTGAGTGAATGAAATCATGCAAGGGAATTAGTGGACCAATCAACTCAATTAATCGTCATCTCCTCAAATGGGAATATCCGATGGTGATTTCTCCGTGAAAGAGATGAATTTAAAAGTAAAAAAAAAAAAAAAAAATAGCATTTCTAAGGCAGAGACTCGAGAGTCGATAAACGCCCTGTGCGCCGGCGTAGGGACGAACCTGGGGAACTATTGATCAACGATCGGTCTCAACATTGCCTCGACACCACTAAAAAACCACCCAAAGGTATTTTCAACAAAACAAACTTTACCCCGTATCACAGCACAACTCGACAATTCGCATTGCTCCAATTTACCCCCTTTTACCGTAATTAAATTCCCAAAATAATCCACCCCCTGAGGTCCACACACCGACACTGGCACCTCCGAGAGATAACAAAAGGTAATGATAATACAAAAAAATTATATCGCATAGAAATAATGTTCTATCGAGAGATATTCAAATTTAAAAGTCGACAATCTTCACGAAAAATGTCAATTTTCTTGCTATATTTATCAGCAGATATCTCGCGAACCAGCAGTGATAAAAATATAGGGTAGAAAGCATTGGAAAGCCCTTTTGATTCTGCAGATGGTACATTTTTTTATTTTTTCGATATCGCCCTTCTATCATGAGATATTCTATTTTGAAAATCGACAATCATAAGATATTCCATTTTGAAAATCGACAATCTTCGTGCGTTCCGCGCGCCTCTGATATTGCTCTAGTATAATAATAATAATAATAATTTCTAAAAAACGGGTGGTCTATTTTTGCGGTTCACCATTTTTTTTTGATGAAGTTGTACTCGAAAATCGAGAGGTCGTGCCCTCGTCCGACCTCTCCTACACGATTGAGATTCCACCTTTTTTTTTTTAATTTTTCATCATTACACGAAAACACCTCTCCATTTTATTTTTACAATCGCACCCTTATCCACGGTAAGTGCCCCACCCCGGAAATCCTCTGGGATGTCTATTTGCAATTCCTCGTGATTACAATTTCCCCGTGGATCACGTGGATGGTACGCGTGACAGGTACCACGGGAACGGGAAAAATAGATCTAGAACCCTTTCCTGATATATAGTGATATATAGTGATATCCAGTGAATTTTCACATTTCAAATAAAATTTTCTATTTGACATGTTGATTGAAGTTTTTATAATTTCATCGACACCCGGATTTGACTATTTTTTTTTTTGGATTTTCATGGGGTTTTTTTCGCGACCCCATTGCGAGTTTCTTTTACACGTATTTTTTTTTTAGGGCACGAGTTTTTTTTTTTTCAATGGCAAATAAAAGGTCGACGATGAGACTCTGTGTAAAGACAGAGTGCTCAAGCAGCAATTCATTGGTGATGCACTTGCCCACACGACTTGCCTCGAGCAAACTTCCTTTCACCATTTATTTATTTTTTTTTTTTACCCTGTCGGTGTTGTTGGCATACGAGTGGAGAAATAATAAAAGAGCAAGTGGAGGAAAGAGATGAGTTATTAAGAATATTCAAGCTGTTGGGATTAATGAGTCTCAAATGTTTAAGATAAGAGGAATTGAAATACCTAGTAATCAATGCTCTGGATAAAAAATAAATAAATAAATTAACCGAATGTGTCAAATGATTCATCTCGACAGAAATTTCAAGAAATTTCCCAGTACTTAATGAATCCTTGGCACAAATAATTGTTTTTTTCTTTGCGTGTGCCCCCCCATCCCCCCCCCCCGCCTCTGGGGGAGTCAATACTAAATACTCATTGGGGATATTAAATACCGTCATTAAACCGAGAGTCGCGTCGTCTAGACATCCCGAGGCATCAACTGTCAATTGCCAATTCAAGTCGTTAGTAGTGAAAATGCCTCGTCCTTAATTTTATTACCTCATTTATGTTCCTGCGAATTACAACTTTTACGTCTACGAAATTTCACCGCCCGGGGGTGTAAACGACCCCAATGAGTGCCCCAGAATATTTCAATTGTTCAAAATAATTTGACTGGATTTCTACAGTTTAATAAAAATTTTATGAGTATTCATTTGAAAAATTGTCTCTTTAAATGATCCCCTCGCCCCTCAATAAAAGACACAATTTATCGAAAATTTCAAAATAAAATGAAAATGGAGTAAAACTCATTACCCCACTTTCCAAAAATCTCTCTGTCTCGAAATTCAACCCTCACCGAGGGATAGGGCAATTGATTGTCGTCACCCCGTGATTGCCACCAACGCACATGTATATTTTTACCCAACACCCCCTGGCTACAAACTTTTACATCACTCCCCTCAACTTCGATGTGAATTCGATTACCGGTAATAACCAATCGTGTTCATAACAGTTTCATAACTCCCCCGAAAAAAAAAAAAAAAAAAAATCATTTTAAATTTCACCCGATCAATCAATCTCATAATACACCTCACGTTGTGAAATAATTTGGTATTGCACCTTCGAGAGTCTGCGTTTGCATCACTCGATTTCCACATGAACAACTGTCAATTCGAGAATAAGAAATAATCAATTGGGCAATAATCAAGATGAGCGCAAATATCGAACGGATACCGCGAGAAAGAGAAACTTCATTTTCCAAATGCATTGAAAAATCTTGGATCGACCGTTCGATACCGATTGGATCGACTACCAATACCACCCCGAGTTGATCCACTACCTAATCCGAATTCGATATCAATAACAAAAAAAAAAAAATGTTTTCAATTCCCTGATTTTCATTTTGCTTTTAATTCGCGGGGCACGACGATGAATTCCATCAAGTGCACTTTTTTTTCGAGAAAATTTTTTATCGAATATCTTGGAACTGAAGAGAGATAGCGATATTTCTGTATAAACATTATATGTGGTGAATGAGGAGATCTGCAAAAAGGGTAATTATGAAAAAAAACTCCCTGGGATTCCAAGTTATTCAGTAAAAACTGAGTTTAAAAAAAAAAATGTCACTTATCCGAATTTACCACTTGATTTGTGCCCCTCGACATCGATAAGTCAGATATCTACTGTAATAGTGATACACTGCGCACGCATTCTCACGCAACTACAAAAGAAAAATAAAAAAAAAATAAATAAAGATGGAGGTGGGGTAGAGACCCCCGGAGGGGAGTGCAAGAGAAGGAGATTGTCCAGTTGTAGAGGGGATACCGAGGATTTTACTTCCACTCCGTATTCCCGTAAAACCCGTGGCCCCAACTCGTGGCGTTTCAGTCGTCGTTTCGGACGCGCACGAAACAGATAGGACCCATCGGTAAAAAAAAAAAAATAAAAAAAATAAATAGAAAAAAAAACACGACCCAATCACAGTCGTAAACATACGAGCGATACGTGAAATAATTTACGCTCTGATTAATCCGCAGCGAAACAACAGTTCCACACGAGTTTCACAATTTCGATTACTATCGATTTATTCACGAGTGGAAAGGCCCAAAATTTTTGGGTCCCATTTCCGTTTTTCAGGGAACTTTGGCAATTTTTGAAGACCAACCGCTCCCGGATTATGACTTAAGGTAGGATTTTTTTTTTTAAGTTTATGTTTTCGTTTTACTGTGGGGCCCTTACCGAGGGGCCCGATGAGACCCATCCATCCGACACCGTGGGAATTTATTATTTAACGGATATTGTTTATTGCGATTGGGGGAGGCGAGATTTCTTGGGTGCTCTTTACAGGATAAGGCCCTTTTTTTTATTTGAAAAAAAAATGGAAACTGCGAGCTGCCCACCCCAAGCCGTGAGATTTTTTCATTTAAGAGTTCTCGTTTCTGGAATTTGGGGTCTTTTTCCAGGGGGGGTTGAAGGGCGGTTGAGGCCCTTTCTGAGGGCCCAGTGCGCACGCGCAGATCGTCCCATTGATCCCAGACCGTGGGAATTTCGCATTTTTTAGGTGCCAAATGACGGTTTTGTTTCAAAATGGTGTGCTTTGAGGTATTCTCAGATGTTTTTTTTTTGGTTTGAGGATGAGATGGAGAAAGAGACGAAGGGCGTCGGCGTCGCGACGTGACTCCAGTACTACCTGTTATACCGGCAAATTTTCCCACGGTACTGACTCTCCCAACGTGTGCGCACTGTTGCGTGTGGATTTTTATTATTGAATTTATATTATTCGTCGTTTAATTCCCGGATTTTGTTTACATTGACGAATTATTGATTTAGGGAGACAGACTCTGATAGCAATGGGAGTATTTCTTTTGTTACACGAGAAAATACGAGAAAATTTATCTCCCAAATAATTCAATTAATATTTCCAAGACAAGACAATCAAAATCAATGAGAGAAATCTCTTCAGATATTTTTTTCGCATCACATGAAAAGTTGAACTTCAAGGGCAAATTTAATAAATCCTATGTTTGAAATTTATTTAATGGACCATTTTCAACCCCATGGAATTTCGCGGATTGATGGGATCTATTGATTATTATTATTTTTTTTTGTTTGCACGATGGAAAGGCTGAGTTAATTCCACATATCACACGGTGAAATAATCACGCGAGATAAAACGCGATTGTAACGTACACTCACCGATTTTTATTCATTTATTTTTTCAAATAACGTCAGAGTAAAGAAACATTGTGTGCAGTAATTTGCGTGTGTAAGCGGATTTTTATGAAGAGATATTATCGGTTTATTCTATCGGTTCCACTTGTTACAGTGGCGTGTTGAGTTTGTCTTAATATAAACTGAAATACCGCATTAAAATTATGAAATTGCACGAGATATTTACGTATTCGATAAATTAATGAAATTTCAAATGTTTAACGCGACATTAATTTCCCCCCAAAGGCCAATAAAACCAAAAAAATATCCCCACCGAAATCATTGAATCCCAATATTTTATTCCTATCGAATATCATTTACTGTCAAAATACGTTTTTCCCACATATCAAATCTCATTTATCCCATGCAAATTGCTATGGCAACAGAAAAATTAAAAAAAAATAAAAACAGTTCAAAATTTATTTCTCATTATTTATGGACAGCTGTTGGACCCCCGGCAATTCTAAAACACGTTTCCTTTCACCCTCAAATTTTTTTCAAATCGCTTTTGGTATTTTTTCTTTTGCCCCTTTTGCCGTCGAAAATTCAGCGGATTGGTTTCTTCTATAGACGCATACAATACAACAACAAAAATAAAATGGGTAGCTTCTTCAGTCTCGAGATTGTTGGGGCAGGTAGTATTTTTTTCTTTTTTACAATTCCCCTCTCGGGGTCCACTTGAATCTCAACAATCTTCTTCGATACCTGACAGGATAAATTGTGAAGAGGTTTTAGGGGCCCTTTTAGAATATCCAGGGGGGGGGGGGGAGACCCTGAAAACTGGCGTGACCAGACCTGGTCTAACACTGAATTAAGGTTCTCAGAAGATTGAACCATTTTATTTCAAGGGCTCGGCTTCAAAATCGATGAGAAATTTTATTTTCACTGAATTCTCGAGGTTTTTCCCGGAAATTTGTATTTTTTTCAGTGGAAAATCCATGAAAATTCCGGAATTTCACTTTTCTCCCCTGAATCATCAGGCTTTTCCTTGAATTTTCACGAAAACTCAAAATTTTATTCTCAACTTCAAATGAAAAATATCGAAATTTCCCGGAAAATTCACCAGTAATTATTTCTATAATTCCTATTCCTCTTCATAAAATGTATTTAACCGTATAAAAAAATATTTCTTTCCTAAACGAATCGGAAAAATAGTCATATTTCCGAGCTTTCGAATGGCTCAATTTTGCTCAACCGCCGGACGTAAATAATTTTCATTCGCAATTCAACAAATCACTTCAATTTTCTTTCTACTCAATTTATCACTCACCCGGGGATTTAATATTGAAAAAAAAAAAAAATACTCAACTGGAATGAGGAGAAAGCATAGAATTACATGATAAGATCACTCTGACCTTGAAACAGCTGAAAACCGCTAGAAAAAGGTGGAGATAAAAAAAAGAACCGGTAATAGCCCCCCCTAGAAGTGTTCGGGACAGCTTCTGGGTCACCTGTTATTTACTCGTTTTCAGAATTCACTCCATTTATTATTTACACTGACACCGACAACTTGAAAACATTAGAAAGCCGGAGGTAAATAGCGTAATTACGAGAAGAAATTATTCCACAAGGGCCAACCACAATGCTACCAATTAAGGCTATTTAACCATTTTTTCTCAAATCATAATATTTTTTATTACTAAAAATAATCAACGATTTTGACGACCGACCGCTCAACCTCTTCTATATTTAAAATAAATCGTGATAGTTTCGGCGGATTTTTTTCTCAACAGAGGCAAGCCCCTGGGTCAAAAATGACCTGTGAAAAACCTTGAGGGTCAAATCTGAAGGTCAAGTCCATGCGGCAAACAGCCCGAGACCCCGGAAAATTTAATAGGCCGATGAAATTGGCCGAGGAAAATTCAATAGGCCGATGTTTATAATATGAGAGGGGATTACCGATTTTTTTTTTTCAATGAGAACAGATTCCTCGGTCAAAAGTGACCTATGAAAAATGATGATGGTCAAATCTGAAGGTCAAATCTATCCAACAATCAGCCCGAACCTCCGAAAATTGAATAAGTGATAAAAACTTTCAATAATGACCGACGTAACGGTCGCGATTGGCCGTACGATGACTGCCTCATGACCCAACCAAAGTGATTTATTACCCCCCACTACCTGCCCCCCCATCCTTTTATTACTCTTTGCATCCATTGTCCTGCAATTTGACGTAGCGGTGAACGCAGCGGTTCAATTCACATCGGTATTTCCATTTTTCACAGAGATCGGATCGACTAGATCAAATAATTTCATCCATTCAAAAATAAATTACCGAATAATTAAAATGACCGAAAAAAAAAAATGGAATAAAATCAAAATTCAAAGTCCTGGTGTGAACGAAAAATAATTCACTCAATTAATAAATTAATTGATTTAGTAATCATAGTAATTTTATGAAAGATTGGAGAATTAGGGGAGAGGATTAGACTGTCCCAGAGAATTAATTAAATTCTTCGTGATTTGATGACGAAAATTCATCTCGCCTGGCAAAATATCGAATTAAATCCCATAGAGTCCAATAATAGAAGTAATCCGTCTATCGCAATTACCTTATTTGCTATCCTCTCTCGTTCGTTTCACCCATACAATCAATCGCACACAGTTATAGAAGTCGACTGTTATTCAATCCGATTTCCGTGTTTTCAATCCGACCATTTTTTTTTTATCCCCTTTCAAAACGTAAATTAACTCTAGACCGTCATTCAAACTTCCTCATCACGTTAAATATCTTGTTAGTTCACTTGACAGCCGGGGAAATTTTTCAACAAATGGAAAATTAAATTCTCCCACTCATTGCTAAATCGCAATGACCCATGAAAATAATTCCCGCTTTCCTCCCCCCAATTAATTTCAATTAGCTTTAAGTTATCGTGATTTTAATCAGTCTGCACACGAATCAAAAAATCACCGCACCGATACCCGAGAGGATGACAATTTTGGATTTTCGAATTAAACTAATAATATGAAAAGTGGCAATAAACCATGAAAATAATGGTTGGACACACCCAAGAATGGTATAAAAGGCCAACAGGCAAAAGGCAGCGGATCATTAATGACCAGGTGAAGTCTCTCCCGATGGTTTTACAGTTAACCGAGACTTCCGGCGGTCTCTCTTTCTATTTATCGCTCGTTTTTCCTGAATGAGCGATGAAAAAAAAAAATCCCATTATCCCACTCCCCTTGTACATCACTGCTAGACAAATAAAATCCCATTCCATTTTATAGATCGGTAAATTAACAATCGGGTCGAGGGGAAAAAAAAGGGCGAAGCCATTTTACCCCGTTATCAATCGAGTCACGATGAGAGAACGATTTACACCGGATACAGTTTTTCTCCGGGTATTGAGGAATTAGTGGGACGAAACGATCTCTCTCCGATTTCTTCTTCATTAGAGAATTCACAGAGAATTTCATCATGAATCCAATGAAAAAAAAATCATCCATTTCACTCTCATAGAACCCGAGTTATCCCGAAAAATATAAAAATGATCTAGAAATCGATGAATGATCCATGAAAATTTCAACCGAGATTTTATCCGGACCCCCAACACCGAAATAGATTTTCTTTTTTTTTGAATATTCTGAAAATTTTCCCATCTTTCGATTGGTGTCACTATCGATCCCCTCCACACCCGTCTTATAATGATAATAACGTTTTTGAGCCGTCAAATGCTAATGAGTGAAGAATTGAATATGAATTCCGGCTTCACATGTAGGTAGATAACAATAAAAAATCTCGGAAGTTTGATTACAATCACGGGCTGAAATTTTCACCCAATCTCGTCTATTCTATTCTAAAAGTAAAAGTACCCAGAGAAAGAGACAAAAAAAGTAACAATAGAGATAAGAAATCGGCAGTTGTTTTCAACGAAAACATGAGAAGCAACAAAAGTATTGGTGAAACAATTTACCGAGAGTCAATTACTCCCTCGAGTATCTATTCATGAATACCCATTGCTTGAAAACAATTAAATAATCCTTCACGGATTTTTTTTTTGCCCCCTTTTCATCTCTTTCTATTGAGCTGAAGTGCGCAGTTTATGATCGAATATTTAGACCTACGAGTGGGAGGAGGAATGAGAGGAGTGAGTAAAGCACGCTCGAGTGATCCAGTCCTCATTGTTGTGTGGGTTATATGAATAAATACATGAGCGAGTAAAAGTTCAATTAAGATGTAAAAATACCATGTACGATCATAATTTTGCATTTCATTACAAATCCCTCATTCTCACTTGCAATGAAAAATAAACAGCACAGAAGAACTTCCCGGACAAGGTCGACAATGCTCCTAATCGATAGATCGTCAAAAATCCAATCAAATGAAAAAAAAATCATCCATTTCGCTCCCACAGAACCTGAGATACACCCAAAAACGTGAAATGATCGAGAGATCGATGAATGATCTCGGAAAATTCAATCGGGATTTTCTCCCGATCTACTTGACCAAATCGGGCAATTTTTTTTTCCATCTCTCGAGAAATTTCTCATCTGTCGAATGGCAAGCAAAAAATCATCCACCTGTCACCGAAAAATATCCTCAATAAATGCGCACCGATACACGTAACGCCTCGAGTCACGTATGAAAAATACATGCGCAAGTAAAAGTTATCTAAAACGATACTGAACGTTTACATTGCTGTAGGCATTTGGCCTTGTTAATCCTATTTATCGAGAGTCCAACAACGATCACTCATTTGATTCTGTCATCAGACATTCGCCATTGAAACAATGAAATAAAGCAATATTACAAATGACGAGAGAAAAAAATTAATTCATCGGAGGAACTGGGGAAATAAAGAAAAAAAAAATACGTGATGAGTAGACGAGGGAGAAATTCCACTTGTGGGACGAGGTGAGGAGACAAAATGAAAGTGTGTGGGTGGTTGCATAATGGGACGGTACTTGTTAGAGGGGTGAAGATGAGGGGGAAAAAGGGGGGGGGGGAGAGGGGTTAATGAGCCTAGAGTGGGTACGGAGGAATGAGTGGAACGTCTCGAGGGCAGTTTAAAAGAGACTTCAAGTGTCCCGAGGGCCTTTTACACTTCCCATCCAATAGTTGTAATACCCGGTTTTATGACTTTTCGAGAAATTCAAATAACTATGCAGCTAAATGGTCTATTTTATGGCCCATTCGATGGATCAGGAAATTTCACACAGGATTAAAAAAAAATTTATTCATTTTGCTCAAGGGGTTAAGGAGTAAATCCTAAATGAATTTTTATAGATCATTTATCGATCGCTAGGTCATTGGGAGATTTTTTTACGATAACTCGGGTTCTATGAGAGCTAATTGGATAATTTTTTTTTCATCCTGTTTGAAATCTTTCTGGCTATCCAATGAGATCACTTTCAAACCCGACGAAGTTTGATATGTGATTGAGGTTATACACCCCAGGGAATGCTTATTTTTTTTTATATCCAGCTTCTCGAACCACAAGCTTCCGAACAATGTATGTACAAAGGGGGAGTGGCGGTAAAAAATTGCAGAGTGGAATTCAGGGTAGCAGCGGTCTCAGGCGCTTTCTGCAAGCGCATATAACAGAACCTCAAATAAATCCGGAAAGTGTCGATTAACGTTAACATTTGGGGAGAGCAATAAAAGCGGTTTATTTTTGCGGAACAAAAAAAAATGGCCCATTAAAATGTCCCTAGGTGTCGTAAAAATACCCCAGGTATTGTCATAATTATAACCTCACAAAATGGTCGAAATGGCCAACAATATGTAATTTCTGCCTTAAAAAAAATATTTTCGCTCTGTTTCAGAAAGGAGTCACTGGAGACTGAGAATATTTTCGGTAAATCGGTAAAGAGAAAAATCGAAAAATCAATATGTCGGAGAGACGTGGCCCGAAGGCACTTGAGCTCTGGTGCAGACGCATAACGGACGGTTATCCAGGAGTTAACGTGCAAAACATGACCACCTCTTGGCGAGACGGTCTTGCTTTCTGTGCGATGATTCATCACTTTCGGCCCGATCTCATGTGAGTTTATTATAACTGCCGGATTGATTGGGCGCTATTCAAATTTCCCGCTTTACCACCACCGACCAATGAGGAATCACTCTTACGCGCCCTCGACTCGGACGAACTTCATTTATGTTTTCACTCATAAATCGAACATAAAATTGATGCTTTCCAAAAAAAAGTCACTTTCTCGCATTATATCGGTTCGAAATTTTTTCAAAACACCACATAAAAATTTCTAAACACTTAATTTATCCATTAATCATTATTTAACCCCAGAAAAAAAGTGAAAAATTGAGAATGCCGCGAATTTCAACGACCGTTCAATAATAAAAGTCGACACGTAATGATTCCGTCATTAGTCGCTGACTGCGGGGTCACTAAACTATCTAAAATAAAATGTGAGAGTGTATTTTGGGTAGGCAATAGCTAAAATGGTGTTGTCACCGATACAAAATAACCCGAAGCCAAACTGAAAGTGATCCTTTCTGGCCCATTACCCCACCGGCTAAAAAATCATCGATAAATACCCCCCGACAAATACCAAACGTTCGCCGAATTGTCATCATCTGGGACTCACGCCAGAAACTCTCGTTTCGTTCACGAGGTAATCGAACCCTCTCACCCCCATTACGTATACACTCATTTTCTTTATGTATACACAAGGCGGTACATAAAAGTCTATCCCAACGAAAGACGTTGTAGGAGAACAAGAATAATGACCGACGTTTGCACACGCTGGGGTATTACCGATGTCGTTGACCGGTTGGGGGGATAGGCCTTCGCACTAACGTAATCCTCTCTCGTGCCACAGATAAACAACACGTGGAACAATTGTGTTTTCAACCGTCACAAGGTACTACCGAGAATTCAAAAATATTCCCTTTCATTATTTTCCCTGAAATTCCCCTCGAGTGAAAAAATAAAAAAAAAACTACCTCCCACTTCAACAATTCATGAATAACAATGGCTCTCACCAATAAAAAGTAGATAGTAATAAAAAAAAAGAACGATCTTGCACTACCATTTTTTCGCGATATTATAGGGGGTGACACCCTTTCAAAATGTTTGCACTCTCAATTTTTCACGCTTTTCCATTTTTAAATAAAGAATATTTTTATACTGAATTTGTAATGTTGAATAATGGAGAGAATGATTTTTCAAATCATCAATTCGACATCGAGTGTTTCACCCATGAAAAAAAAAATTATTCCCACCGTAATTTCTCTCGACAATGATTCCACCCAGGGACTGACACAGGATGTCACATTTTCTAAGTAATTTTCTCCTGTTAACACTCTGCTAAGAAAAAAAAAACTTTCTCGTTGAAGAAAAAGACCTGAGATTTAAGCCTGCGAACAATGGGATATCGGCAAGAGGAAGCAATTGAGGAGGGGGGAGAGGGTACCGATAAGTTGAATGACAGTTAAATGCAGTGCGTGGGCGGATAGGACCAGAAGTATAAAACCTAGGGAACGGGTGTGGCACGACACAGCGGCCCTCTGAGTCATCGAGCGGGGGGTATTGTTGCCCCCCCCCCCTCCCCCCACTTCAAGATTTTTTTATCATTTTTTTTACACCCGAGAAAACCGTAAAACCGAAGGAATCTCCAATTCACACCGAAAAAATGGTTTTTGACGTCGGTGGAGGTCGATGGGACATAGACACGGACTTGCCGATAGTCTTAATCAATAGATCGATAAATTTCAATTGAGATTGAAAAAAAAATCATCTTTCTAGCTCAAGTAGTTCCTGAGAAAATCCCGATTCAATTTTTCATAGATCATTCATTGATTTCTAGATCAATTTTACGTTTCTCGTTGTATCTCAGGATCTACCGGATAAAAATCGATGATCTCGGGTTCATTGGAAAGATGAAAAAATTTCCCATCGGATAGGCTAAGAGATTATTCATTTTCTTTCGTTGATATACGAAAGAAACGCGATTCGCGATTGATAGATACTACTGATCGTTTATTTCGGGATTCCGAGGGAGAAAAAAAAATATTTTCTCTCACCACAAGACGAAGTCGAGCTATCGATTGGGGTCACCGTCGATCCGATAATATTCACCGAGATGATAGATCGAGATTAATGTATTTACACTTTGATGCTGATAAAAATTGACTTAATTGAGGAAATAAACGAGACTAAAACGCACTTGGTGATTAAATTGTCAAGGTTAAGAGGTTTAAAATGGTGTTGTGAGTCACTCAAGAGGTTTTACATCGAAAAAGATGACTATAATAGGAGATAATGAGTGGAGTATGAAGGCAATAAAAAAAAAAAGGAATCTCAGCTCCTTATTTTCAGATTTTTTTTTTTCACGTGTTAACAGTGACTTCAATAGCCTGAACAAGGACGACGTGTATGGCAACAACGAGCTGGCCTTCAGAATCGCCGAACAACATCTGGGTATCCCTGCACTACTTGATGCTGAGGACATGGCCTCGTGCTCTGTACCAGATCGATTATCCATTTTGACTTATCTCTCCCAATTCTACCAGCATTTTGGTGGTAAGTATGAAAAATCCCACCCACATCCGATGAGATTAAAAAAAAATCCGATGAGATGAGAAAAAAAATCAGCAATTTTCACCGCCCCAAACCCGAGTAATCCCCAAAAATGTAAAAATGATCTACCAATCAATCGATGATCTATAGAATGTAATTGGGATTTTCTCCGTGATCCGTGGACCTAAACGACTAATTTTTTTTTCAATCTGACGAGAAATTTTCCCCCTTTCATCATCTGCTAATGGAAATAACCGGGAAAAATTGAATGAGTCTTAACAAGACCACTTTGTACCACAACTCAATAGAAAGTTTCCACGTGTGACTCGTTCTCTACCATTGATCCTTACACACCAAACGCGTCATACTTGGTACGGCTTTTATAGGATGAAAAAAAAAATATATATATAAATAAAACGATATGAACTCAAAAAAATAATAAAAATAAACCTATTGGAGGACTGGTTTTAGCGACAGGGGCAACTGGTTGCCCAGGAGCGTTTGTAGAGTTGCTCTTTCACTTTTATCGCCCCGAGATCCTGCCCCCCGGGTGTTTGCCAGCGAATTGTAAGATCGGCATTACAACAACCGACAAGACGATGCAAAATTGCATTTACTGCTCTATCAAGCGACAGAATTACGTTTACCAGTTCTTTTTTTCGCTTATCCCGTCGTAATCTCATGAATTTTGCATCACCAGAGGGTATGGAAGGGACGATAAAAGGTTCTCATGCAGCTCATCCGATAGATCGGAAAATTTGCCATCGATTTGAAAAAAAATCTGTCCAATTTGCCGCCATAGAACCCGAGTTACAAGGAAAAATGTAAAAATGATCTGACGATCGATAAATGATCTACAAAAATTCAATCAGGATTTTCTCCGTTTCTACTGCACCGAAATGAATGATTTTTTTTTTCAATTTCACATAATTTTTTTTCTCATCTATCGAATGGGGTCACTCGACCCCCTCCGGCGATTACACCTTGACCCACGGATTTCCGAGCGCACACGATTGCGAGAAGATGCTAGATAACTTCAAGTCATTCTCGGGTGAATGACAAACGTTAACATATAAAACCATTGGGTTTCGCAATTGCACACAGGTGAGGTGGAATCCTCGTGGAAAAGGTCTCACCGTGTTTACCTTTTGTATTGAAGTACCTCTACTCATTTCTCTTTTTTATTCCCCTCTTCTTCTTTTCATATTGCATCATACGGTGAATTTATATTTCACAAGAAAATAACTCACGTGTACCGTTAAATTATTCAACGGCCTGAATTAGCAAACAAAAATATCAACGAGTACATGATTCAACTAATTGAATTTGATAACGATGACAATACGAATAATTTAAATCTCTTCCTCAATTTTTATCCCTCTGAATTATTCAAAATTATTATTTTTCCCTGAATCTTCAATCTACCGAGAATTCAAACAAAATAATTAAAATTTCTAATTGAATTCAATTTCAAAATCATATAATTGTAAATTCAGATGACTATGCAATGAAAATTCCAAGAAATTTTCAACAGCATTAATTAGTTGAATCATCAACAGGTTCATCACCAAGTAGACTAGCCCTGAGCAGATCAACCGAGAACACGAGCCAGGGAATGACACCAGTAACTGAGTCCCCACAGCCAAAGGTAATACGATAGACTCACACGTGCATTTATCTGCAACTTCTTTCTCATTCTGTCATTTATTCAATTTCTCATTTCTCCGTATCTTTTGTATTTTCATTGTACTGTCCGCCTTTTATCCGTTTCTTTTTTATTCATTGCATACAAGTCGTTACGCTCACGTCATCCATTTTTTCAAGAAATTTCATTGGAGGGGTAGAATTTCCCAGGTGATAGAATTATTTCGCCAATCGCAGAATACAAAAGAAAATAAAAAAAAAAAACAAAACAAAATGAACGCTAATTTATGCTACAATTATAAATCTCAATTACTCAGATAATTTTCAATTCAATTCCAATCATTAAAAATACAAATAAAAATTATTATTTCAAAATAAATAAAAAATTATTTTCGCTTCTTGATATTTTTGCATGTGAATTTTTTTTTTTAATTCAAATAGTTTAACGTTCATTTTGTCTCTTGATTTTTTAACCAAATCATTTTTCATCGTCATCGGATCGCTTATGAGCTTTCGATTTTCACCTGTCTCTAATGAAAATTTCGGGGATCGGTAATTCCACCAGGATATTACAGACAGGTAATCATCGTGCTTATGTCCCACGGTAATTATTATTTAGCAAAATTTATTGTATGCTCGTAAGTGTTTGTTCATCGTGTTGTGCAAGTGGAGTGATTTTTTATTTAATTCGCAATGTGTATGTCTCCCACCCTATGTACTGATAAAACCGGCACTATGTACATGGTAAATACACGCTCATGACTCCCTGGAATCCCGCTAATTTCCGGTAAAAATGCGGCAGAAGGTTTTTTTCTCGTGGTTGAAAATTGAAAAAAAATTGTTACAGGTGAATCACTTTCTCGGGAAAAGAAATCTCACAGCAAGAAAAAAAAAAAGACGCAACTCTCTTTCCTGATCTAATGTGAGAGTGCAAAATTTAATTCAATGGGTGGTTTGACAAACTGAAAATTAAATCTATTTTTCAACCCCCGACCCAAGAGAATGATGACATTGGGGGGAGAAAAGTGACTTTCGATTTTCAAATTCTCCAAAAATTTTCAAACCCCTGAAAAATCAAAAAATAAAATTCGGTCTCACCCCCTACCCTGACCTCGAAAGACCAATAAGATTTCTCTCAAAAATCGACTCTTTCATCTCTCGTTTCCCCCGCCTGGACATCTTCCCCAGGGCACGACCGGGTGCCGTAATAAGACAGGGCAACGAGAAGAGATAAAAAAAAAAGGAGGTAGAATAAAAAAAAAAAATCGAAGGATTTAGCCGTGGGTTTAATACGCGGTACGAAGGCACTTGCCTAGAGACCGATAATTTTCGTTCCTACCTGGAGCATAAGGAGGTGGACTCAGGAAAGGAGTAAAAGGTGGAACGGGAGTTGTACTTTCTTGGTACAAGATGCCGACTAGCCACTCAAACGGACTTATCTTCGTGGCAAACACGATTTTCTGTTCAACTCCTCGAGAATAGTCAGACGTCATTGCCCTCTACTTCATTCACTTCCGCATCCAATTTCTATTTTATTTTTCTCCAATTCCTTCCTCTCCCTTTTTTACTTCATCCCATTCCTTGTTCCATATCCTTTGGGATGGAGTAATTATGGGAAAAACTATTTCCGGAGATACTCCACCCATTTATTCACTATATTCCACCGTAATTTACCTTTTCTCATTCTTCCCAATCATTTTTCAGCCGATATCTCGGAATTGAAGAAATATATCAATTTTTTTCCATAAACAATTTTCATGGATAAAAATGTCATCAACAAAAAACATGTCTACAAAAATATCGCTATCTCCCTTCAATTCCCAAATAATTGCTGAAAACTGTCCTAAAATGCCCCGATCCGAAAAACTCCCCCCCTCGTCTTTCAAATTTCGAAAAAAAAAAAAAAAATTAAAAAATCGCCATCCCACCCATTGCCCTACAAACACGTGATAAAATCGAAAATCCCATCACTCCATTAGCATTCAGAGCGTAACGTCTGTAATCCTTCTCGAAAAACCATTAACTAAAAGAAAGAAAAAAAAAAAAAAATAACAATTCTGTATCTCCCGTGCCATCAGCGAGTGCATAATACTCGCGTGTATGACCCGTTCGTTCACATTGAATTCCTTCATACATGCATTACAACTCGAAACACAAGAGAGAGATGAAGAAAAAATGAGAGAGAGAGAGAGAGAGAGACTCGATGAGAATTAAAATGCAGAGAATTTCCCCATCCGAAGAGTTTAGTCGATCCTATGTGAATCACGAGAGCGTACGTGTGCATTAACTATTTGCAATGATTTAAAAAAGCAACGATAAACAATAAAAAACAAATCGGGTCTTTGATGGATAATACAATTTAAAAAAAAAAACGACAAATATTTCTCATTTTTTTTCTCCAGGAGGAGAGCTTGGACTTAATGGGGCAATATAAACCTGAAATATTCTGCTAGAAGGTAATTTTTACGAGCTTTCGTCGTATTTATTATTTAATTATTGCTTGTCTGTTTGTTTGTCTGTTGATTTTTTATTAATTCTAGTTGCATGCTTATGCCTAACGTCATTAATACGGTTTGGATGGGGGTGGGGGGTTTATCCTGTGTTGTAGATTAAGAATTTAGCAATTGATTGAAAAAAATATCATCCATGAATAATGGAATTCTCTTGAATTACCAAGATGACTGTGATAATGAATTAAATTTCAATTCACCTAATTAAAAATTCAAAAGATTTTGTGACTTGTCAAAAAAAAAATTCCGAGTGTGAAATCGTCAATGAGAATTAATTCGTTTTTTTTTTTTCGCCAGTTCTCCAGCAACAAAATGGATGTTTTTTTTTTCTGATGAAAATCATGAGAATTTTTCCGATCTTTTCAATGAAACAATCCTCATTACCCCAGAATCAATTCCCCCTGTAATAATCATGCTCTCACGACATTTCAACGTTTAAAAATAGTGAAAAAACTCGAAACAATCGGCTTTTGTTGCTCCCCGGGGAGAAATCAATGGCCATATTAATTAATCACATCTGTACGGTGCATTAATCGTTGCAATGACAATGTGCAATTGCACAATGAAATACTGAAGGCACTGGCATCGATTAGTGCGTTTAAAACGGCTCGTGGAATAATGTGTGTAGGTAATGAATTTTTATGGTACAACATTGATGTATACGAGGTAATGAGGCCAGTGGGTCTTGTTTCCATCGTGAAAAAAAAAAAATGAAAAATTCCTCTTTTCTTAGTCTTAACGTACCACTCACTCATAATTACCACGATATCATCGTATAATTAAATAACGCGACTAATCACTAGAAACTATTTATCTCCCGTCCAATAGTATTTTTAATAAACTCATTTTCTAAATAATGGAATAAATTTCACGATTATACCGGGTCATTTGCCACTCGTCTCACGTAAATCGGATAAATTATTAATTTTTCTCACGTACTACTATCGGAAAATGACGGTGAGAGTTTAACGTGTCCCATTGAATACTAAATAAAAATAATTTCACACGCGTGTTTAGAGGATTTTTCGGTTTATTTCGAGTGGATGAATATGTGTCACTGGAAAGTGAGACAAATTTAATAAAATTCCAGTCACAAAATGTTTAAAATCTGTCTTTTGTCTACCAAATGATTATGCCTTCGATAAGGCACATGTTCCACTTCAATAAATAATCCCGTAAGTCGGTGTGTGTCACGAAGTTAAATGCGCACGCGCTATCGAGTGCATGAATAGAAAATGATTTGAGTCAGTGATGGTACGGCACCTCGAGACGCCTGCCACGTTAAACTAAAATTTTCACTATTCCCCAATCAACCATGTAAAAATAATGTAAATTACCATCGCACTAGATTTTCCCCGTTCTCCTGATGTCACGGCCCGGTATGTGCAGTTAATAATTAAAGTCAATTGAACGTTGCGGCTGTTACGAGGCGAGAGATATAAAAGAGAGAAAAAAAAAAATGTACATGACTGGGATGAGTAGTTGGAGATAGTGCGTCATACAGCGTTAAACGGTTAGTGCTGTGTCGTTGAACTCTCGTGCAATTTTTTATATTTTTCCACCACTCCAATGAGAAAAATAACAATCTACCTGCACCATTTAATTAAGAGGGCAGCGTGAAAATAAATAATATTTCACCGAGCGATTAACATCCTTATCACAAAATGCAGGAAAAGCTCAAGGAAACAACTTTATCGAAACAACTGGCTTCCAGTGTTTAAAGTTTCAAAATATAGATTCATTAAAAAAATTATCAACAGTCCTACAATTCGACAATTAAAAAATCAAGAAGAATAATTGAAACAAGCCGACCGTATAAAAATCCTGTCCTCAACTCCTAATCCCTGAATTTATTCAACTCAATGACTTGAACCCTCAACTTTTGAAATGTTGAAAAAAGGGCCTCATCCTTGATCGGAAAATTTCTCATCTGATAAAAAAAAAATACCCCCCATGTTGACTATTTTATTTTCCCATTAACCCCCTATTCTCAACTTTTAAAAACTCATCAACTTATTCATCTTCAGGTAATGCCACGTCGTCTGGGTATGCGTCGGGAGATCTGCGCGGTGTGCGCCCTTCCCGTATTTCTCGCCGAAAAATTAGTGATAACCCGACGCACTTATCACCGCACGTGTTTCAAATGTGCCCGATGCACCAATCAACTAACCCCTGGTAATTTCTACGAGACTGAGGACGGCGATTACTGCTGCGAAACATGTCCCGACGAGGACAAATCAACCCCCCTATCATCACCCCCTTCAACAACCCTATCAACCCCCTCAATACCATCAACTCCCCTTCCAATTCCTCGATCACTGAGTGACGAAGAGAAAACAAAAAATAAACACGAAAAACCATCAAAAACAACGCGTATGAGACTCGACTTCATGTCTCATCAACTCGACTCATCAACTGTTGATTCAATTTCCCAAAAAACCCCATCCCCTGTATCCCATGTTTCAGCAGCAATTGAATCACCTGGCGAGTGTAATCAATCCCCGAGAGACAATTTATCCACTAATGATAACGATAATCACGAGGTTGATATAACAAGTGTTGAATTAAATGTTGATGATGATGTTATTGTGTGCAAGAATACCAAAGAGACACTTGGCGTTGATAATAATGATGATGTTGATGAAGCCAGTCAGTGCCTTTCAGTTGTACAGCAGAGACTCAAGATATTTGAGAGAATGAGTGTTGATGGAGAGTTGAGGAGAAAGAATAATTTGTGCGATGTTGATAACAATGTAGATGAGAAAATTGCTAATGACGATTCTGTGGAGCCTGACTCGTTGGAGCTATTGGAGTCCCCACGAGTTATCGAACAAATTGAAGTTAAAGTTGAAGATATCGATGCTGTTGATGATAATCAACCAGCCGATAATGAACCAATTGATAAAAAAGACGACGTGGGAGTTTTGAATGCAACAGGAATAGATCTGAGTTCTGAATATCCCGAGGACATGAATCCATTCAACAGCGATGATAATGATGAGGAGGTTGATACCTCAGAGGTGTTGAAAGCCCCTAAAGCATCAACAAATCCCTTCGACAGCAGCGATGATGAAGAGGAGAGTAGGCCAACACCAGCAGCCAGAAGACGTAATGATGAATCTTCAAGCGAACCCGTCAAGCGAAGACTTCAGGCGCCTCACATCAACCTCAACCCCTTCTGGAGTGATGACGAGGAAGGTGAAAGTGATGATGAAACACCCAAGATCATGCCAGTTCCAAAACCAAGAACGATCAGAGATTTACCTGGAAATTTACAACGAGCCGGATTGTACGCCTCGAGCAGCTCCTTGGCGAGTTCAAGCTCCACGACAACAACACCAGGGGGTACCTACAGAAAGCGAAAGCCAGCACCACCACCACCAGTGAATAACGAAAGACTTTCAACACCTGCAGCTGGGGGAAAATCCCCTCAACCTTCTCACAAATCACCCCTGAAAACCCCAAGACCGAGAAAATCCAAGCCAGCCCCTCCACCACCCCTGCCAACAGAAATTTTATCAACCCTATCACTGCACTCACCCTCGTGGGAGGAGGAGAAAGTCTCAAAGAATCAGTCCAACAAATCCAAACAGTCCCAGAGATCTCCACCGCCCATCGACGACGAGGAGACCTTCTCCTACGACAAGAGCAGCCAGGGAAAGTGGAAGAGAAAAAAAGGCCCAGCCCCAGCTCGTCCAGTACCACAGAGGCGTAAAATCAAGGTAATGTCCATGAAGGACGTGAAATTGGAGTTGGATGAGATCGAGATGCAGCAACAGGGATTGGAGAGACAGGGTGTAAGACTCGAGCAGTTGATACGAGACAGATGTGAGAATGATCATGATAATGAATCAACCAGGGACGATAACATGACGATGGACGTTGAGGAACTCGTACTCGAGCTGTTCTCATTGGTAAATGAGAAGAACGAATTGTTCAGGCGACAGGCTGAGCTCATGCTACTCAAGAGACAGCAGAGGCTCGAGGAGGAGCACGCTGACATTGAGTATCAGATAAGGTGCCTCATGTGTCAACCAGAAGCCACTAAGACTGATTTTGATAAGCAGAGGGAGGAAAAGCTCATTCAGAGGCTCGTGGAAATCGTCGAGAGGAGGAGTGAAATTGTCGAGTGTCTCGAGATGGACAGACGGAGAGAAGTCGAGGAGGACAAGAGCATTAATTTGCATATGGGACTTTATGCAGGTATTTATTATTCATTTTATTGAACAATCTGCTCTGATATCAATGAAATTGATAAATAAATAATCATCGACAGGTGAAAAATTCGAAATAAGACGAAAAATGAGAAATGCTTTTTTTTTTTCATTTAGCAAAGAGCAAGGGAGACTTGACGAAGGACCTCGAATTATCATCGAAACCTCACAAATCTAAAAAACTCAAGATCAAGGGAATTATTCTAGACAAGCATCTCAAAAAAATTCACAAGAAAGACGCTGACAAGGACGTGGATGAGACTGAAGTCAAGGTTAAACGCCAAAATAAGAAAAAATGGTTCTAATATCGTACCATTTAGCACATCCAACATCCACACGAAATGTAGAATCTCAATTTGTATTTTAAGAGTCAAATCGATATTTAATACATCAATTTTTTATAAATAATATTTTTCCTCTCATGTCCTTTGTACTTTGTATTTATGAGATAATGGTTTTTTTTTCTTGTAGTTCATGTACAATGTAGCTGAATGAACGTAAGTGAAATAAAATCAATCTTAAATATTCATTTGATGTCTGAACTCATTTCCCCGAGATTTATCTCAATTATTTTTATCGGCATACCGTAATTTAATTATTTTTACTGGAGTTTCGTCATTTTTTATGAATATCGAAAATTCTGGTGTGTCGGTTTCCTCGAAAACGAATCCCCCGGAGTCTAGAAGACAATGAAATATGTAATTAATCCATCCTAAATCCCAGGAAAATTCCATTTCCAGAATAATCACTCACTCAATTGTTTGAAAAATTCCGAGACAGTTTCCTGATTCCTGATGGTCATTGCAAGAATCCCGAGACAATTTCCAGACCTCATGAGTAATTTCAGGCCATTAATTAACAAGGGAAAGAGAGAATTGTCATAAATGACATCAGCTGCGATGACGAGATCGACACCGAGACGATTCCCCATGCCCTCATCGATATTTTCCCAAGGTAAATCGATGATTTCATGATCAATATCAATCCTGGAGGAGTTGAGATCAACATTTGATCTGAGAATGTCCAAAACCCTAGGATGACAATCGGAGAATAAGAAACTCTTGGGGGAACAGAGATTCAGGACAGTGAGACCTGTCAATCCCACCCCAGACCCAAGCTCCAGTATTTTTTTGTCTCTCAAAAAATCCTCGTGGAAGACACACCATTCAGCGAGTGCCAGAGCTCCCTAATACCGATAAAAAAAACTTCCAGAATAAGTGGAAAAATCAAAGAAAACAATTTGAACTCATTTGCCAATCACCTGCCAACTGCAGAGCCCAGTCGTTCCGTCTGATATTAAATTTCTGCTCTCTCGGATGATCAACCTATCTACTTTTCCATTGCTCATTAAAAAATGCCGATAATGAGTCCCTCGATCGTCTCCACTACCCAGAAATTCACAGAGAATCTCATAAAACATCCCATAAATCTCTTCACATCCATTATTTTCTAACGTAGCAATAATTTTTTTGACAAACTTTTGCTGATACTCGCACTTCATCGGATACTCCCGAACCCTAACATCGCCTACTGTCGCGTCAAATATCTGAACTTGTTCTTTAAGATCTAGTTGTTCTGGGATATCAATCGAACAAATGGGAACGCACGCCAGGAATTTTCTCTGAATTCCATTTGTTTTTGTGAATTCACACATTTCCACGCAGGAGTTGTTTGTACGCGATTTTTTGAGGTTAGAGTAAATAATGATAATATCACTCACCATTTTATCCACCGGCGTCACCGACAGTTGCCAATCTCTGGAACAACACCATCAGCTGCCACCAAGGAAGAAATCCAGGGCTGCATCCTCTGGAGCTCCTCACTAATTCCTGAAGATTTCTCACTCACTTGAATTCAAATTCACTCACTTCACTCATTATCACACACAATTTTATTTCCCTTTTTGTTAATTATAATCCATTGTTCATTAGAATTCACTTCAAGAATAACCTCCAAATCACCAATAAATAGTAGCCGAAAACACTAATAATTCCGAAAACACTAATAATTTTCACTTGCACTCCCGACTTTCATTTGTTTTTGTTATTCGACATTCCTCCGTCCAAACATCGATTTTATTTATTGATTATTTGTGATTTATTCGGATTAATTTTATTGTCCCTCCAGACATTGATTTTATTGATTGTTTATTGGTCGTTTATTTGGATTAATTTTATTGTCCTCCAGACATTGACTTTGTGGATTGATTATGAGCGATTTATCGGGTTCATGTTGAGACAAGTTCGTGCACGCACAGACAATGGACAGTCGATCGACAACTTCAAATGACTCACTGTTAGGCATTCGTTCTCTTGTGTTTACTTCGGCGTTTGGATTGTCCATGTCCACACAAGCAATGAGATTCATCGATATTTGTTGTTATTACCACGAGATATCCGGAAATACTGAGAAGAACGGAAGACGCGACCATTTCGAGTGGCTCGCGGTGGGAGACTGAGGAATCAAAATGACGCTTGCGCATGCCCACAACGGCAATTCACATTTAACGTTAAATTAGACCAAAAAATACAAACAATTATTTATTTGAAAAACATTTTTTTTCAGGGAAAAATCTTGTAGAGTGACATAAAATCCAGAAAATTTTCAATAAAATCGAAAATAATTCCGAAAATTGGGAAAAATTGTCGAAATTAGAATTGACGATGAAATAATTAAAAAATGGATTTTTTGCTCAATCAATTGGTGGGGATAGAAGAATTTTGAAACGAAAATCAATTGAAAGATGAAAATATTTTTTTTTCGAAAATCGATGGAAATGAATTTTTTCGAAAATCGATGGAAATGATTTTTTTGAAAATTCTCGAGAAAACTCGTGAGTTCTGAGTATCAATTGAACGATGAAAATAAATTTTTTTCATTTCTCCTGGAAATTCCCATTATTGCCAGATTGGTGAATTTTTTTTTAAATTTTTCAGGTGCCAATTTTTCAAAAAGTGAAAAATTTAAAAATCATTCCCACGAGGGCCAATTCGCCCTCATTTCGGATCTGCCTCCTGTCCGCAACTCAGAACTGTTCGCTTCTCCCGGGAATTCCCATTATTGGGCGATTGGTGAATTTTTTTTTAAATTTTTCAGGTGCCAATTTTTCAAAAAGTGAAAAATTTAAAATCACTCCACGAGGGCTAATTCGTTGACATTGGACATTGGTTGGTAAATAAATGAAAGACAACATGATCAGTTTAAAATTGCTATTTTATTGAAATTCAATCGAAATATTTGCATAAAACGTGAGATAATCATAGGTATTGTATTACACACAGAGCCAGCTAAGCATTCACCAAACGAATTCAATAAGCTGAGTACCATCACCCACTCATGCCCGGCATCAAGGACAGTGCGAAGATGATTGTCTCATCTCTCTTGTAAACGAAAACGAAAAAAATAAAAATAAAGAAACCTAAAATAAAGATGAATAAATAAAAATGAAGAAAGGGAAAAACAAATGGTGAGATCTCAATCAGTTAATTACGATTTTTCCATTCTTAACCGATTTCATTGATTTTATTTATTTATTGTTTCTCGGTCCAGCCACACGTCCACTCATGTCGAGCATCAGTCAGAGCATCCAGGAATGCTCTCCAAACGAACACTGTATCAAGTTGTAATTGCCATCGATCTATTTATAAATTGTCAATTATTTTGAGGTAACACTTGACAGAATATCGATGAATTTTGACCGATTGTCTCGACATTGTGATAACGGTAGGTCCAAACAATCGCCTGCCTGTGGGCAAGGGACCGATGTGGTCCAACAGCAATTCTCAGCTGTGATTGGTTGAAACAATAAGTGGCTATTGTCCGCTAATTTTGGGACTGATGTTGAAAAAAAAAATGAAACAATTATCTCTCTGTCTTAAAAATTTGATTATTTTTATAATTCCAGTCGACTCATCCCAAAATTGCAGACTATCGCCTGATATTCATTTCATACGGCCTGTAGAATATTTTCACAGAATTCCTTAATCCCAGAATCAAGAGGAAAAAAATTAAAAATAAAAGTATTTTGATATTTATGACACTCAATGAAATAGTAAGAGAATTTTCTACATGTTCAGATTTTTCATGGGATTGTCCTGCCGAATAATTGATCATTTCTTTTAAGACTTCTTGTGATAAATTCACGTGTTTGAATAATTTATTTCGGTGTCATGAATAAATAAATCAACGGTTAATTACTCAAGTTATCAATATTGATAATTAATTCAGAAAGACAATCTCCAGAAAATTAAATAATTAACAATGCGTAGTTTTTGATACGTACACGTGTTCACAGCACGATTATTGGTGTTTATTAATTCTTTCGCACTCAACCTTTTTTTTCAATTTTCATTAACATTTCCTCCATATTCATCGCATAAACTCCACTTATTATTCACTTGAAAAAGAAAATGAGAGATAATTAAGAGTAGAGACGAGAAGTAAGCGAAGCTGAGGATTTAGTGTTTTTAATCTTGTATTATGGATCGATATCAAGTTGTTTTTTTTTTTCGAGAATCGTCATGTTAAACTGATTTGCAACATAATTTTAATAATAATGAAATAAAACTCGACGAGGTTTTAATAATGTGACTTATTACCTCCCAAGTAAATAAAACATGTTTAATTTTAGAAACAAATGGAGTATTTTATTTGAAGCGAGCCAAGTCTGACGATTTTATCCTTTGAACGACGAAATTATTGAGAAATTATCGAATACAGATGGAACGAGCGATCAATTAGACGAATAATTGATGTGGTACACGAGTTATTAGTTAAAATCCTCATATGTTGACATCGCTCTTTAAAATTTGTGAGTACCCTCAGTACTTACCACTCATAATGTTCCTTGCAAGGAAATCATCCCAATTGATTCGCAAAGTTGATAACATTGTCTTTATTTTTCATTCTTTCATTGTTGGTGGCTTTTTATTGTTTAGGTAGCTGTGGATCATCTGTGCGAATCAATTCAGCAGTACTTGTACAAAATAAGGTGACAGAATTATTTATCCCAAAAATCATTCAAATCAACAATTGATAACACAATAATTCCCTCAATAAACATTTCTACAAAATGAAGACTGTCGAAAAACAATATATTGATTTTATAAAATGGATTGTAATAATTGAAATAATAATTTCTTCCAATGGAAATAAATTGTGCGAATTTGCTTCATTGAGTCATCCTCATAAATTGTCTGGATGATTTAATTAATCTTTGAGATAAATAATCATGAAACCAAAAATAAAAATTACCACTGACTAACCTGAGGCAGCCCATCTCCACGCTGCTGCTAATATTCATCGACCCACTCCCATTAAATACACAAATAGTGAGGCTGGCGATTCGACGATTAATAATCGAATAATCGACATAAATAAATCATTGATCATTGAAATAGTAGCAGCGTAAAGTTGCCACCTGTCTGGGCGCATTTTGTCTCACCACGAGGACACCCCAGTGGATTATCGACAGCCTAGAAAGAATTTCATTCGTGTCATTAACCACGGGAAATGATTTCCAGGCTTAATTCATCACTTACGCTAAATTGATTAATTAATTAATAAGAAAACAGATCGATTATTCGATAAAAATTCATTGAGTACTGATGAAATCCGCCCTTTTGTCGTTAATATTTTGGTGGATCTAAGAGAGATAGAGAAATTCGTGAGGGCCTTTCTCATTAATTTTTTTTTCATTTTTTCCCCCTTTTTTCCTTTTTGTTTTCATAATTTTTAGTGTTAACCATCCCTCATTTTACCCTTCTCACTATCTCCCGTAGGTTCCAAGATATTAATTAGTGAGATATTAATTAATCAATCAATGAATTAAAATTATTAATGAAAAAAAAAACAAATATTTTTCTGCTAACTTTTCAGTGAATTTAAATCCTCTTGAGACATTTTGTTAAATAATCTTGATTTTTTGTTTTAGTCAGGGGGAGTTTCAGCGTGATGGGGCTAAGGCCGGGCCCACAGCACGAAGTGCAGCGGTGGATTGGGCCCGTCCATCGGAGGCGATCATCTGAAGCGAGGATGCATCATTGGTGCTAGCATTGGTGCACCAGGAAAACCCATTGGCGCAGCGAATGCTGGATGCATTGCACCCGGTGGCAATGCACCGATCATTCCTGTAAATTTCAAAAAATCAAATACTCAATTCACTATTTTTGCGATTTATCAATTCACATCGTCTTCAGGCCATATTTTATTTTTATTTTCAATCCCAGAAGCGATAAATGGTTTTTTTTTTCAATTATTATAATTGGACTATCTCGGGAATTTCAGGATTTTTACCATGTTTTTATTTATTATGTACTTACGGTTGTTTTTTTTTTCGAGGGAACGGGGAGAGGGACAGGCACTCAACATTTCTACGCTGAGAAAAAAATTGGCATTTTAAGGAAAAATTGTTGTGAAACTAGCGAATGGAATTAATGGAAAATCGGAGACACGTGTGCGGTTGCGAGGGATAAATATTGAATTGAATAAATTTGTTTGAAACAAAACAACAATTAACTAAACAACAATTTATAATTTTGGGAATAAAACAACAATTTTTCGGCGCTGACAAATACAATGCAAATACAATATTTTACGAAATTTTTCTTTTTTTTCTCTCAGTGTAGATTTTTTTTATTTCCATTCACTCGGGTAATTTTTATTGTAGTGTTGACTGCTTGATTTTGAAAATTAATCTTGTGGATGTGTGTGATGAGGGCCACGCGACCCAGGGTGACAGCCGTGATCCATATTTTTTTTTGTTCTCTTGAATATTTCGGAATTCAGTCGGTGTATTGTATGATTTGGGATCGATAATGCTTATTCATTTTATTAATCATTAATCATCTGAATTATAATTAAGCTAATGACGTATGAGACGGTACAACATGCAAAACATGTGCCGGCATAAACATTTATAATTCCACAGCAAACCGATCAAGTGCTACCACACCAACAAACAATAATAAATAAATAAATAATTGAGTAATTACGAAAGTAAGTGAAAAATATAAACAAACGAAAAAATTCTACAATTGTATCTCTCCTACTCGTTGATATTTCTGGTATCACTCGGCTGTCACCCAAAAATTCATTAAAAATCTTCTCATTAGCTTCAATTTGAATTAAAGAAAGTAAAGAAATTATAATTAAGAATAATTACCCATCACATATTACTTGAATTCCGTGGAGAAGCTGTAGAGCGTGACGAGATGATTTTTACATTTTTATTAATTAATGTGGAATACGATAACACTAGGTACGGAGAGAAAATTAATTTTTCTCCTAGATCACCTTATCAATCAATCCCTCAATAAAAAAATGTAAAAGAACCACCCATTGAATCACTGGCTACCGCCTCACCGCTGAATTAAACTCAAATATTAATTCATGAATAATAAACTGTTAAAATGAATTTACTTACTGTAAACACGATTAGCCTCAACTTATCTAAAATTTTTTGTGTAACACAGAATATAACTAGAACTATTGAGTATGAAAAATAGCGGCCAAATAATTGCTTTCCATCTATTCTCAATGAATATCTCTTCATCAATAATTATTTTCATTCGTTGCATACTGTTCACATCCCTTCTCAATGGTTAATTAAACTCTTTAGTGTATTTATCCAATTGAATAATGAGTGTATGAATGTGCCTGACAACTCGATTTGTGGTGAAACGAGAAATAATAAATTAAAATAAAATAAAAGCGTAATGTAAATAATCGCAATTGACTGTTTCGAATAATTGAACTGAAATTATCGTCAAATGATTAATTAAGCATGAAGAATCCACTAGAGACTGTCTACACCAGAAAATTCGTGTGAGTCATTCATCGAATGAATGAAAAATAAAAAAATTATTGACCAATTAAGTGATGGAAAAATAATTAATTAACCTGTCCCCAACGGTAAATCCACCAGAAAGATGAGATATTAATGATTGAATGTGATAATAATATAGAATAGGCCAAGTCACCGCATGCTAATTGCTAAGGACCAACCTTGTTTCATTATAATCTGTAACTCGTCATTAAAACACGTTTTTTAATTAACCAGACTGGGGGGTCGCCCTGTAAACGCACCGTTAAAACTTCAACAATGATCTGAATGATTAATTAACAATTCCATTGATCAATTCTAATTGGAAACAATTATTAATACTCCAAGGGATCTGAATGTGAGATTATTGGGAGGCGAGTCGATTACATCAATTAGATTAAAAACAACTGGAATTAAAGTGGATGGTATTTTGTTATAAAAAGAGAATTGTACTTTATCTTTCTCAAGTATCAACAGAATAAATCAGTGAGAATGGATTTTGTTAATCAAATTCCAGTGGTTTTTTCATCGAATTGATGAATTTGGAAATGGAATATTTTTCAGAGGATGAATAATTCAGAGAATAATTGTGCGACAATTTTGGGGTTTTTTTTGCTTTTCTCTGCTGTAGGAAAAGTGGGAAGAGATTTTTTTTAACGGAAGGAAACAATTATCTTGAAATTATTCATTACAAATTCAGGATTAAGGAGAATGTAGAGATCGTAAGGAATAAGAAGTTAAAACCAAAGGAAAAAGACAAGTTACTCTAAAAAATTGCAAAAAACTGCAATTTAATTTGTTCTCTAAAATGATGAACAAAACGAGATATTTGAGGTTGAGTAGACTTACCTGGTGGCAGGCCCATGGGGGGCGGTCTCATCATGTTACCTCCGTGAATGAGTGCAGGTGCAGCGAGGGTCATAGTTGGTCTCATGAGAGGTGCCATAAGAGCAACCGAGGACACCGGAATGGCAGCTGACGCTGGCACCATCATCTGAGGTGGCCTTTGGAATCTCTGTGGCTGCTGTTGCTGCTGCTGTTGCTGAAGTGCAGTGAGTGCTGCATGCTGACGCTGCTGTTGATCCTGAAAGGCAGCCTGGGCACTTGCCACAGCAGCTGCCTGTTGTTGCTGATGCTGATGCTGCTGCTGGTGTGAGTGCTGTTGTTGGTGCTGGTGTTGCTGATTATTTTGTTGCTGCTGAAGACTTTGTTGTGCCTGCTGATGGACAGACTGGTGATTCTGTCCATCGTGTGATCTTCTACCAGAATCCTCTGTCTGTTTTCTTTGATACTTGGGTAATCTCGCTCTCATCTCCTCGAGACTGAGATCCTCTTGTGGATGAATAATCTTGCTGGCAGCACCAGTTGTTGCTATCAAATTGACTTTACCACCTGCATCACCGGTGGGAATGCTACCACTGGCACTTACACTTCCACTGCCACTGGTGGTATTGCTTGTTGCACTACTGTCACCTCCATAAGCTGGAAATGTTGGTTTTATTGGACCTATTGAACCACCAGCTATCGACGTCACAGTGGTACCAAGAGACGTCACATTACCGGCTGACGACATGGCTGTCGAGACAGCTGGAAATAAAGGTCTTGGAGGCATTGATGCACCTGACACTGGAGGCATCCCCATACCCTGCATCATTCCTGGTGGCATAAATGGCGGTGCAACGTGTCCCAAATGTCCCATCATATGCATTCCAGGTGGAAATTGATGGCCCATGGGTATACCTGGATGACCCTGCATTCCTGGCATAACTCCAGGTATCATTCCAGATGCTGTTGGCACTGCACCAGGAGCTGATCCCAACAGACCCTCCGGTTTAGATTTTTTTAGCGCTGGCTCATCCTCACCAGATGATGGCGAACCTGGCCGACCACCGTTCCTCTGCTTCTCGTGCTCTTTCGCATCGTTCGGTGGAATTCCCTCCATTCCATATATTTCTATCTCTATATTGCTACGATTTGGCAACGAATTTGGTACTTTATCTATCGCCTCCTTGTGTACCTGAAAAATCAACGATCAATCAGACTGTGGATATTAAGTATTCAAGAAAATATATGAAGGGTCGTGATTAATTATTCATTACCTGCATACAGTGTATACTGAGCCCAGGACCTGTGTACAATTTTTTATGACAAATGTGACACTTGAAGTGTTTCGCCTTCTGATGCTGAATGAGAATTTTCTCATCGTCGAATTCTCTGTTGCAATACCTTTGACATCATAATAAATCAAGGAAAATACCTCATACCTTTTCTCAACAGAATTAAACATATATTTCTTCTTTATCTAATCTAACCCCTTCTCCTTGATTTCTCTCACCCTGACTCCGTCATCCGCGACAATTGCTCATGAAAATTCCTCGATAAACACAAACAACTGTACCTCCCACATCATTTACAACAATTGAAACCCCTTCTGCATACCCAAAAAAAAATAATAACAAATCCCAACAAAATTCATTTCCAAATGTATTGTCTCATCGTTACGTAAATCATCATCTCCACTAGACAAATACATATTCAGCGTGAAAAAGGATACCAGCACCAGGGCCTAGACTGCTTCTTCTTCTTACGCCCCATTATTACTAATTATCCTTCAACAGTACCGAAAAAAAAAAGGTTGAGCAGCTCGAGCTCGTGGTGAGCACGAGTTAGTACTTTAATTATCGATGATTATTCCAATGTTTATTGGTTTTTTTTAGAATTACTGAGAATTGACGGAATCACTGAGAGATGGAACGCACATTACCATACCGAACTGTACTGCAATTGTACTGTACTGTAATTAGCATGCAGCAGTGTTGCCAGCTGTGCAGCATCCGGAAGTTCAAGTACTCGCGCACTTCCGGTCAATTTAGCGCGCATATACAACATAATTGTTACATTATATTCATTATATTTATTATTAATACATTAATAGTTGTTATAAAATAAAGTTATCATATCAATATATTAAGAATTATGTAATGCATGTAATTTATTATAATTGATTTCTGAAATATATGTATATCTAGATATATTCTTGAACAATTGTGCAAATAAATTAAAATAATTTATTTTGGATTTATTGAATTTTGTCTAAATCAATTTTTCACAGCCGCAGATGGATTTGAAAACGAAAAAAATTACGTGCCGAAATTTTAGTCGCTTTCGAATTTCATGAAAATCCGCCGGAATTTAAAATAATGGCGGGAGTCCTGAGAAGCTGCAGCGGTTTACGTGCGAGTGATTCGACAATTTCCTTCCTCGTAATTAAATTATTCAGATTAAAAAAATTAAATAATCGTGGCAAAGTGACGCCTCAATTACTCTCTCAATTTATCTAATTGTTGTCTTCTGCAGGTGGTGGCCAGCAGTGAAATTTGCGAGAAAATCACTGATTCCCTCCATTTGGCAGCGAAAAATCGAAAATGTCGGCTTGTGGTGCATCAGTGTGAGGCTGTGTCACAGGTGGTCAAATCGAGAACAAATTTAGCTGTTGATTTTATTGTTTTTGCTATTGATGGACAAGTCACGCATTCAATATCCGAGGTGAGACCTAGAGAGACTGAGAATATTTTTCTCCCTCCGAATTATTCTGTCAAATCGAGGAAAAACTCAGATTTCGTTATGGGAATAATATTAACGAAGGGATAACCTCCAGAGGTTTTTGAGCTTGTTTATGAGAAAAAAGTTGAAGAAAATTTATTTGGAAATCATTTGATGGCGTATCATTGAGGAATTTATCGATATTTTTTGTAGGTCGAGTCTAACATCAGCTGTATCGACGAAAATTACGTGATATCTGGATCTGTCAGTCTCGTCTACTGTCACAACACATCCGGGAGTTTTGGCATGACCTACCACAGGGCCAAGGAGCTCTCCAGGAAATACTGCCTTCGGAAGTTCCTCAACACCGATATTCAAGTGAGTCAACACGAGAGAACAGATTTGATTGGAAGTTTTGGTGGATATTTCTTAACCAGAGAGAGATAATGAATTCCTCGTGGGACTTTTTTGTAGGAAATTCCAAGAGCCTCAAAAAAGGTTGCCACGAAATTTCAGTAACTCTCTCCCTTCTTGAAATATTCCGGAAAATTCATTCATTCGAAATATCAAAAAATTGGGAATTCCCACTTTTGGTCCCTGAAATTGATATTAATGAGATATTGAATTATCATAGGACGCAGAGAACTGTTTTCTGCTTGCCGAACGTCTTCTAACCCTCGCCGAGGAAGTCGTCGGTCTAAAGACCGGTTTTCCCCTCTGCAACGTCTGAATTCCAGACAAAAACTCACAGCTGCACCTAAAGTTCTCATGATTCCAAAAATCATATCAAAAAGACTAAATTTCCTCTATCCCACGCCAGAGGACGACTAACTTAATAAATAGATCCCCTACAAAAATTGACAATCCCAGGAATGAAGAAAATAACGATAAAAACATACGCTTCGTCCCACGAGGACTCCGACAACTCAAGTGACGAGACAGAATGCAGCATTGGGAGCAACTCAACAGCTGGAACCCACCGTTCAGACACCCCAACACGTTCAGCCCGATACCGAAAAAAGGGACGTCGACGTAGCAAAACAGCAAAATCGAAGCCCTGCAATGACAAACCCCTGTACAAATACTGCTGCAGCATAAAAGAGGATCACGGTCAGCCCCTGTTCGGTGTCCAATTCAATCATCACCTGAAAGAGGGTGAACCCATGATATTTGCATCAGTTGGTAGCAACAGAGTGAGCATCTACGAGTGCCCAGAGGGTGGTAACATCCGTCTGCGCCAGTGCTACGCCGATCCAGACCCCGAAGAGAATTTTTACACGTGTGCATGGACATTCGACGAGTCCGGAAAGCCCCTTCTGGCAGTTGCTGGCTCTCGTGGTGTCATCAGGGTCCTGAGTCCCGTGACAATGACGTGCGTTAAACATTACATCGGTCATGGCCACGCCATCAATGAATTGAAAATTCACCCCAAGGACTCCAACATTCTCCTGTCAGCCTCCAAGGATCACGCCCTCAGGCTCTGGAATATCAAGTCTGATGTCTGCATCGCCATCTTTGGGGGTGTCGAGGGTCACAGGGATGAGGTCCTCAGTGCAGACTTTGATATGAAGGGTCAGAGGATCATATCCTGTGGAATGGATCATGCCCTTAAACTCTGGAACCTCGACAAACCTGATATGCATGAGGCAATCAAGCAGAGCTACTTCTGCAATCCTACCAGGAATGGACGACCTTTCGATTCGGTTCTTCAGCATTTTCCCGATTTCACCACCAGAGATGTCCACAGGAATTACGTCGACTGTGTTAAGTGGTATGGTGATTTTATTCTAAGCAAGAGCTGCGAGAACTGCATCGTCTGCTGGAAACCAGGACGACTTGAGGACCAACAGCTCAGGAACAATGAGACAAGTGCTACTGTTCTCCACAGGTTTGAGTTCAAGGAGTGTGACATATGGTTTATCAGGTTCTCCATGGATTTTTGGCAGAAGACGATTGCTCTTGGGAATCAGGTGGGCAGAACTTATGTCTGGGATCTTGAGGTTGAGGAACCTGGACAGGCCAGGTGTTTCTCCCTGCAGCATCCAAGGTGCACTGCACCCATCAGGCAGACCAGTCTCAGCAGGGATGGACGTGTTCTCCTCTGTGTCTGCGATGATGCCACTATCTGGAGGTGGAATCGTGACTGACGCATTTTTTAAGAATTTTTTATAATTTAGAATAAAGAATTTTTGTAATTTCTTCGGGTTTACTTTTTTCACATTCAAAATCATCTCGGTTGGTCATCAATTCAGTAATTATGGGAAAAATTAACTTTAATCTGATAATTGTGATGATTAATCGGAGGGCTTCTATTTTATTAATTAATAAAAAATTTATGACTGACGAGAGGAGTGTAAAAATTGGAGCTCAGTCGGTAAGATATCATTTCTTGAGATTTTTTGAATCTCCAGTGAGGAGTGACATAACCTTTTATCCTGGAGTTGCTGCAAGATTTAATGGCTTTCTCACAACAAAATTCTCGAGGTAAATTTATTATCTAACTACCCCGGCCTGGCCACTATGTCGATGAAATTCTCATTTTCAAGACCATGCTCTTTTTACTAAAGGATTAAAAATGGATGGATCATCCATTGTTCATTATTGTTAGATCTGCAGAATAAGAAGATCCTGGAGGAACTTCAGCTGAAGAAGCAGATGCTCCTGAAACAAGGGGTTGCACCCAGCCTCTCCAGCTCCATCAATCTGCCCTCCACATCATCAGGACCAAATCCAGTGAGAAATCCAATGATTAAACTATTCCTTAAGGATCCATTTCCCTAAAACTCCATAATAATTTTCAAAAAATTCGATTTGTTTCCACAATTTCTCTTGAAAAACATCTGACAGAGAAATTTCTACCGCTTCTATTTTTATCCATAATTTCACGGCGATAAACTTCCCAAGTTTCTCTACTATATTTTAATCTTTCATAATCGGTTTTTAATTATCAATTCAATTATTTAATTTTCAATTACAAATAATTCTGGGAATAAAATTTCGAAAAAAATCCCCGGATAATTGACCCAGGTTTTTTCCTCGAAAATTTCCCAAGGTTTTCCCTGAAGATGATTTATATTTGCATTAAACTCTAGTCCACGTCAGCGTCAGGGGACGGTTCTATGACAGCTGTTCAGAGGAATGCCCTAAACAGCGCCCACGCAGCATCTTTCGGTTATTTCGTCACCCAGGACTCCTCCTTCGGGAATTTGATTCTGCCAGTGCTCCCCAGATTCGACACCAAGTGAAAATAGCCCCGACACCCCATAAAAAATCTCCAGGAAAAATTCCAGAAGCTCCAGACCTTGAACTTTCACCTGGAACACCAGTTTTGTCTTCAACAAGATCGATGGCTTCCACCCGGTTGAAGAAGATCGAGGAGTACCTCCAGCAGCTGGAGGAGTTCAAGAAACCGAAGGCGCGGCTGGAGCAGTACTCGACGAATCCTCACATTGCTGCACACCTGTTATACAAGGCTCACACCGAATTCAATGACATCAAGGGCAAGGGAATCGCAGACCTGGGGGCAGGATGTGGGGTGCTGTCCCTAGGGGCCCGAATGCTCGAGGCTAGCTACGTCGTGGGGTTCGAGATCGATCCCGAGGCAATCGAGATCCTCTCCAGGAACGCCGATGACATCGGATTACCTGTAGAGACTGTCCAGTGCGATGTCCTCCAGCTTTTGCCTGGTACGAAAATTCAGGTGAATAATTCGCCATTGAATTCACCTTTTGCTCGGTTTCAGGGAAATTTGAAAAGGCTTTTGACACAGTCATCATGAATCCACCGTTTGGTACGAAGAATAATGCTGGGATTGATATGAAGTTCCTGGAGATAGCCACAAAATTAGCAGGGAAGACGGTCTACTCTCTTCATAAGTCATCAACGAGGCAACACGTATTGAAGAAGGGCCAGCAGCTGGGGGCCAAGGCTACTGTCATTGCTAATGTCCTCTATAATCTACCTCAGGTTTACAATTTCCACAAGAGAGAGTCTGTAGATATTTACGTGGACTTCATCAGGTTCTCTTTCAATGATTAAACTCACGATTAAATTATCAATCGTTAAAATAGATTAAATAAAATAATAATTTCTACGAGGAGAATGATGGACTGATGGATGATTAACATTAATTGATTATTAATTGGACTGAATTTAATTTGAACTCAGGATTAAATTTTCTTGGGAAAAATTTATTATAAAGATTAAAAAATAGTTTCTGTAAAATAATCATTTTTACGTGAGGAATGAACTGATGGATAATTATCATTCGAATTTAATGCCCTGTGCCAGTGGCAATTCATTTCCATAATTTATCGTGACTGTCGATCTCCTCATGTACTGTTTCCAGGAATCACTTCCGCTCTCTCGACCTCCACCTGTCGCTTTCTCACCACCGAATGCCCCTCCAATCTCTGCTCCACTGGTTCCAATATTCACGTTAACAATTCCACAGTCAGAGCCATGTGGACCGATCCACTGAAAAGTCAACAAATATTTATTTCTCATGTTGATTTTAAAATCTGGATTTCTCCAGATCTCCAGGCTGGGCATGGAAAATGATTTTATCACCTGGAAGACATTGGAGAGACTTTTAGTGAAGATTGAGCTGCTGAGCCCCTGCTCCACGTTATTATTCTGGGCAATTGCGTCTTCTATGGAATTCCCTTCCAAAATATAAACAATGGGGGCAAAAGTCTCGGATTGAATGACTTCCACGTCATTTTGAAGTCCTGAAATTATCGTCGGCTCGACGTAGAATCCTGGACGGTCTATTTGTTTACCACCGAATTCGATGGTTCCACCAGAAGCCACGGCTTCAGCAACTGTTGCCTGTCAAATTATTATCAACAATATAATTTTTCTCGTGACCTAGTTAATATTTTTTTCACGTAAAATCGAGATTTTTCCAACAGTTATCACGCACTTTGTAGTTGTCCACAGCTGTCTGATTGTGCAGAGGTCCATACAATGTGTTGTCCTCCAGTGGATCTCCAATCCTTGATAAAATACTTTGGAATGCAATTTTAAGTCTTCCGAGAAATTCGTCCTTGATTTTTGAGTGGAGGATCAATCTCCTGGTGGTGGTGCAACGTTGGCCAGCTGTTCCCACGCAGGAGAACACTGCAGCACGCACTGCCATCTCCAGATCTGCGTCACTGGCAACTGGAGGATTTAGAATCAAATTGATTGCGTGAAGATTTAAAAAAGAATTAAACAGTTTCTTCAGCATTTAATTTTCTGAATTTCTCAATTTTTAGGATTTTTAGATTACCTATAAGAGCGTTATTGCCTCCGAGTTCCAGGAGAGATTTTCCAAAGCGTTCCTGGACCTTCAGGGCGACCTCTCGACCGACTTTTGTGCTCCCCGTAAAGCTGACGAGGGGTAGACTGCGAAAAAATCATGGAGAACTCATGAAAAATAAAATTTCAGGAATAGAATTACAAATTTCGGTTTGTCTGCCTTGAAAAAGAAGATTTCCTCAGCTTTTTTGTTACCGTTTATCGTTCACTAAGACTTCCCCGACGTCAGCCCCACCGGTGACTAAGGCAAGGAGAGACCCGGGGATGCCATTGCGTTCAAGAACACCGGCGATGATTTTTGTCGTTGCTATTGAGACTAGGGGAGTCGTCGGTGAGCCTTTCCAGATGACTGCGTCACCGCAGACCATGGCGATTGCGCTGTTCCATCCGTACACCTGGTAACAGATTAATTTAGCACGGGAAAAAAATTGCCTGGAGACGCTGGACTCACAGCGATGGGGAAGTTGAAGGCGGAGATGACGCCGATGACTCCCAAGGGGTTCCACTTCTCCAAGAGCGCGTGGTTTTTTCTCTCCGATGGGAAGATACTCCCTGGAAGCATTCTGGAGAGGCCGACGGCGTAGTCGCAGACGTCGATATACTCCTGGACCTCGCCGATTCCCTCTGGGAGAATCTTTCCCATTTCGAGGGAGACCAGTTGACCCAGTGGTCGCAGGTTCTTCCGGAGTTCGTCGCCGATTTGGCGGACGATTTCACCGCGTGCTGGAGGTGGCAGGGATGCCCACTGAGGCCAGGCTTTTCTCGCCTCTGTTATCGCATTGCTCGCCTCCTGGGGGGTGGACTCCCGGATTTTTGCAATTGTCTTCCCCGAGGCCGGGCATATCGATTCTATCAGCTGGACACAAAAATGATCAGATCCACAAAAATCGTTTTTTTTATGATAAAAAAAATCAAAATAAAATAAAAAAATACAATGAAATTAAAATTATATTATAGAACTCATGCGCGTTTCTTGGTGGTTAATTATTAGTATTAATTGTATTAATGTATGCGTCGTTTATATTTTTAATTGAGGCCAGTGACGAAAAAAGTTATATCGGATTATCTAAAAAAAAAATACCTGTCCAGAACCGCCCCATCTGCCATCAAAAAGTCCTGGATTTTCCTGGGTAAGTCCCAACAGCTTCAAAAATCCATACCTCGAATCCGTAACTAAACCCCGACGACATTCAATCCTCTGAACTGCATTCAACAGCCTCGACATGTTGAATTTCAACTCTCAACTCACGAATCTCTCGGGGTTATCGAGTTCTCCTTATCTCCGAGGGTATTCTTATCACTCTCCCCCGACCGCTCGTTTCAGCAAAACAACTGATTCACTTTAAAAACCATTTTATTATTAAAAGTGGGAATTCATTATTAACAATTCATTATACATGATTACTCGGCAGTGAAGTGTCGAATGATTGATTTTCGTCGATGACGTGAAGTTTTTTCTCTGGAATTACAATTATCTAGATTATTTACACGGGCCTGCACATCTGATAGCACCGGAGATCTGATACCAGACGGAGGACTGACCTCGTCAGCGTTGGCTGATCCTGAAAATCAGTCAGTGAATAAATGAAAATATCTAACAACAATGATAATTAATAGAATTCTCAAACAAGTGCAGAAAAATTCCTCCGAAGGAATTCTAGAAGACTATTTAAATTCCTCTGAGTATCTCACCGTTGATTTATCAAATCCCTCCATGAGAGTCGCCCTCTGGACATCATCGAGTCCTTCACAACCACCGAGGAACGTCGGCAGGAAGTGACTGAAGAACCAGTTGATGTCGACCCCAGCTAAATTGTGAATGGCAACAGCGATGTCATCGGCGAGAAGATTATGTGATCTGTGAATCAAGACAGTGAAGAGAGCGACGAGAAATCTCTCCAGCAGATGATTCTTGAAGATCTCCTTCTGGTAGAGCCTCCACCTGGAATTGAGTGCCTCAAGGCTCTGAAGACTCTGTCTGAAGATATTGACATCTGACTGAAGAAGAGCCTGACCAAAAGCCTCGAGAATGGCGACTAGCTCCTCCTTGTGCTCGACATTCTCCTCCAGAGTTGCACCAAAGCTCCTGAGAACACCAGCACCATAAAAATACTGCCACCTGTGCATGAGAATTCCATGGAACAACCGAAGGAGAACGAGAGTTGTATCAGGATTGGCACTGAGATCTCCCCCAACAGCTGGCCACACGTGTCCAAGACAAAGTCCAGTGATTCCAGGGACAAATGCTTTGAAACCAGGAGATGGTGCCGACACCACGAGAATGAGAATCTCGAGTAGTTGATCGAGGGCAGGACCAGCACTAATGCTCTCAGCGCTGTATATCTGGAGCATACCCTGGACAGCACCCTGGATAAATTCAGCTCCCAATTGTTGCTGAAGAACGTGAAAGACAGAGTGGAGAAAATGCATAAGGGACTCACAGGCTTGAGACCTCACCACATGGGGAAGAATCTCCAGGGCTCTGGTGATGGTCTCCTGGAGGCACTCGTGGAGCAATTTTTTAATGCTCGTTGAGGAGGAGCAGCAGTCCTCGAGGAGTTGTTTCAGTGGTGTTATGGAGGTGCTGATAGTGACATCTGAGGGGATCTGGTGACCCAGGCCACCCAGGGGTGATGACAGGGTTGATATCATTGATGAAAGAAGACGGTGTCTCACAGCTCCATCGCCTGCCACCAGGACAATTCCATTGGCAAGCGCTCGTCTCAGGACTTTCACGGTTTCTACTCTCATTGGAGGGTAATTCTGGCAGGCTATTAGCTCCCTGAATCCCTGGTGTTCCCACAGGTTTGGCCTGAGTATTGCTGTGACACTCTGAAGGAGGTGAGCAGCTGAATGCACCAGATTGAGGGGAATTGAGGGCTCTGGCGATCGCGACGGTGATAACGCCCAGATGCACACCTGAATGCATCTCTCGGTGAAGCTCTCCCTGATTTTCTCAGGCTGTTTTGCCATCCAGTGGCACCAGGCCTGCAACGACGCCAGGAATTGCGAGTGCACCTCCACTAGGTCCAGGACAATTGCTGGGGGCTGGAGGGGTGGATGAAACAGATGATTGTTCTGGGCAAATGTGCAGGCGTCAAGTGTGTGATTCACTAGGTCCTCCACTGGGGACTTTGAGGTGTCCTGGGGATCGGTGAACAAAGAGTACAGGCGAGCCAGTGCCTGAGTAGTTGAAGCGAGGTCTCGGAGGTGCGAGTGAACAGTGGTAGCATCTGAATCCGAAAGAATTGTCACCTGGCCATGGGACACAGCTGATCCTAGCTCTCCGTAAATCGATATGTCTGCACTCCAGGATCTGTACAGCAGATTGAAGACTGGCAGGGGTGAGATATCGGCGACCCTCGCCAAGCACTCAATACTGCACCTGAGGAAGTGCTGCCACTCTGTCTCGTCGTTATCGTCGAGGGTCTCTGTGTCCAGATCTTTGAGATTTCTCCCTTCTACCTTGAAGGACATCCTGTTGAGGAGCTTCTCAGCGAATCCCAGGGCAATCGTCGAGTACCTCGACTGCGTCGACTCCAGGAGACAGCTCCACACCTCGAGGCACCTCAGGTACCCTGGGATCGAGGTATTCTGCTGGAATGTGTGGTGGTACAGCACCTCCAGGAGAACTACAACTGGAAATTTTGGACATGACTCCACCCTCTTCAGGTGATTCGTTACGAACAGCTGGAGGAACTCCGTTGTCTTCTCCAGGTAGCTCTCGTCAATGCTGTCCAGGCGTTCCATTATTTGAAATAATGTCACTCCATGATCAAAAATCTGCAGGAGAAGAGTTTCGGTTGTGCTGGGGGAGCAGGGACGATACAGGAGTTCGTTGATGGTCGTCATCGCCTGGACCACCATCTCCACTTGTCTCGAGTTCATGGAGTGATTGTACCTGGCGCAAGTAAATATCGCGTCGAGGAGATTCGGGGAAATGTGATCTGTGGGAACGATCCAACTGAACATGTGCCCCAAGACCTCTAGGGTGGCAATGCATATGTCATTACTTCCTATCGTCAGACCGTCAACATCGAGGAGTGATCGAGCTGGTGGTACACTCTGACCACCTGTTGGCGACGGTGGTGGAGTTACTGTTCCAGAACGTGTTTGGGACTTGATAGTTTCGGTTAAGAGAGCTGTGAGAGTATCAAGAGTCGTTGACACCTGAGCACTGAGCAGTCTAATGAGTTCAGTCTTCCTTTGAAGGGGCAGATCGTCTCTGGGTGTTGCAAGTTCCTCTGATGCTGTCCTCAGGTAGATGAGCCCCAGGAGTCTTGTCTGCTTGTGTCCCAAGAGTTGGAGAATGTTGGAGTAAAAGTCTGGGTAAAAATGGGGCCAGTCGTGCTTAGCAATGTCCACCACGAGCTTGACAATTTTATTCCTAACATATGGAGCAACTCCGTGCTCCAACGAGAGGGTGTAGAGTGTTGATCTTATGAGGGCGCGATCCTCCCAGGGAAGAATCGGCCAGCGTCGGCTGATCGTCGTCTCCAGGGTCGTCAGGGCGAACATACTGACAAAATGATTGTTAGTCGATGACAGGAAGTGCAGACACGGCCTCCAGGAGTTTATCTGGGACGTGAACTCGTGGAGGCTCTGCTCGATCGTTCGAATTCGTTCGTTCGTTGCATTTGAAGAGAAAAATTCGGTCATCAAGTGCTCCAGTCTCTGCAGGGCTGCTGCATCGTCCTGAAATTACATCGATGAATACATTTTTATTTATCATGAAATTAATCATCAATCAATTAATTATTGACTAATAATAATTCCTTGATGGGAGGATTTCACGTCGAGGGAATAACTTTTTTCATTCATTTTTTCAAGACAGTGGAAAAACCTCAAGAAATAAATAAATTGCGTTACCATTTTAACTGCGGACCACCGCTGGGCTATTTAATTATTAAAGAAATAAAAATGCAAAATCGAAGTCATTTAAAGTCACTATTTGGTAGTTAAAATACTGGGTCAAGTGGAGGAAGGTTAGATCTGGGTCTTGGCAGATGTCAAAATCATCAAAAAAGAGAATTTCTCTTTTATCTTCATTGCCCTCTGGGAGAACAAATTATGGGACTCTATCGATAAAATCGGTTTTTGGTGAAGTGAGTGGAGTGAACCATGTGGTTTCTGTGAATTAGTAAATAAAAATTAATTTTCATCGAGAAATTTTCCGGATTTTATTAGAAAATGGGGCGAAAAGCTAAATTCGACGAGAAAATTGTCCCCAGTGGTCCTGGGAGGAAGACTAAAAAACAGAAGGACCCGGTGTTCTCGAAGGAATTGATCGGTGAGGAAATTGTAATGTTTGGCTGTAGGTTAGACTAGTTTGATTATTTAATTTTCGATTTTCAGAGAAAGCCGATAAGAAATTGAGTCACAAGCAGAAGCAGAGGGCACGTAAAAGACAGGCCAAGAGAACCGAGAGGGAGGAGAGAAAAAATGAATCCAGAGTGAAAAAAGCAAAAATTGAAGACTGCGACGAGGTGAGGAATATTTTAAATCCAATTGCCCTGATTATCCATCGTAGCCGTTCAAATTATCTGAATCAAATCTTTGATTGTCAATATTGCTCTCAAAATCAAATTTAAGATCAAATTTTTCTGTATTAAAACCCTGAACTAAACTTTTCAGGCCCCTGAAACAGATTCAGACTCTGAGGATGGCCCAGTGTCATCTCAACCAGGAGCATTCGTGCTACGAAAGCCGTCATCCTCATCAGAATCCGAGGAAGACCCAGAGGAAGATGCAGAGGGATCGACCGACGAAACAGATCTTCTACCAATCGAACGAGAATCCAAAAAGCTGAAGGCAAAGATGTCAGAGGACGCCGCCCTGGAGGCAGCAGAGACATCAGAAATGGTGTCTCAATGTGTCTTCGAGTTCCCCTCAGAGTCAGAGCTCCAGGAGACGACGAGCATCAAAGACATTCAGAATCGAATAAAAGACGTGGTGATGGTGTTGAATGACTTTAAACGTTTCAGGGATGTCAACAGACCCCGCTCTGATTACCTGAATCTCTTGAAGTCCGATCTGTGCACCTACTACAGCTACAACCTCTTCCTCATCGAGAAACTCATGCAGATATTTTCCCTGAGTGAATTACTGGAGTTCCTGGAGGCCTCGGAGGTCCAGCGACCCATGACTATTCGCACAAATACTCTGAGGACTCGCCGGAGGGATCTCGCCCAGGCCCTCATCAACAGGGGAGTCAACCTCGATCCCATTGGCAAATGGACGAAAGTTGGACTCGTCGTGTACTCATCTCAGGTACCCATGGGGGCAACACCCGAGTATCTCGCTGGACATTACATCCTCCAGGGGGCATCCAGCTTTCTACCTGTTATGGCACTCGAGCCCAAGGAGAATGAGAGAATTCTCGATATGTGTGCAGCACCTGGGGGCAAATCGTCTCACATCGCTGCTCTCATGAAGAACACTGGGGTATTGTTCTCCAATGATGTTAATCAGGATCGTGTCAAGGCCGTTATTGGAAACTTTCACAGACTTGGAATTGTCAACTCTGTTATCTGCTGTCATGATGGCAGGAAGATCCCTGGAGTCATCAAGGTATTGTAGAGAATTATAGAGAATTTAATTAAAAAAATACAGAACACATTTTTTTTTTCAATAAAAAATGGAATAAAAATGAAATAATGAAAATTGTTGATTTATATTTTTAGGGATTTGACAGAGTTCTTCTGGATGCCCCCTGCACTGGGACTGGTGTCGTAGCCAAGGACCCCAGTGTCAAGACGAATAAAGATGAAGTGGATGTCCAGAGATGCTGCACTCTTCAGAGGGAACTTCTCCTCGCGGCCATCGACGCTGTCAATGCAAAATCAGAGGCTGGAGTTATCGTTTACTCCACGTGTTCTATTCTCCCTGAGGAAAACGAATGGATTGTCGATTATGCACTCAAGAAAAGGGACGTTAAAGTGGTGCCCACTGGTCTTGAATTTGGAGAGGAGGGATTTGTGAATTACAGACAGCACCGATTCCATCCCTCTCTCAAACTCACGAGGAGATTTTACCCCCATGTACACAATATGGACGGATTTTTCGTGGCAAAACTCAAGAAATTCTCGAATATTATTCCAAAAAAGGCAGAAGAGAGTCAGCCTGAGGGGGTTTAGGGGTTTATTATTTTTTTTTACATCTTTTACATGCTGTACAGAAGGAACTTCAGTGGAAGAAGATGCTCTTCAGCTGTTTCTCGCAGAGACGTTTCACCTCGTCTGGAAAAATATTAATTCGTGTTTTTTAATTGATTTCATTCATGATGACAGATAACTCTCTAGACAAACGATGAAATTAAATGAGACGAATCCAATATTTTTTCAATTATCGAGAAAACTATCGATTTCAAGGGAAAATTGTGAAGGACTTTTATGTAGCTGAATAAATTGCCGGCGAAAAAGCTCTTTTCATCTTTTCTCCCAGAGGCAATTGTTTTTCAGTTTAACTGCAGTTTAGATTTTTAAATATTAATCTATAATTAATTAAACTGTGAAATTGGATTTTTCTTTTATTATTGCACTGTCGAATCGATTGTGATTGATGAATATAAATAAATGACCGATTATAGATAGTTTATTTTTATATTTACCATCGATTTCGATCATAATCGCATTTTTCTGTTGAATGACGACGAAGAATTCCCGCAGATTGGAGAGTTTTCCGACGACCCAGTAGTCGCTCATCGTCTTGATAACGACCTCACCAGCTTCCTTGAGTTTATTCGTGTCACTATGGATGTCAGTGATTATCCTTAATGCCTCCGGAGTCGTCAGAACGTTGGAGACACGTCTGTTGTCTAGATGAATTGTGCTCTTGTATGCTAGATTCAGTTTGTTGAAGTATAAGTATTTGGGTGTGGACTCTCCAAGATCGGGCACGTGCTTGGAGCACTGCTCTGCCACTGAGCTCACCAGGGTAGTCAGCTGGGGGCCCAGGAAGGCGTCCAAGCTCTTCAGGTAGCTGATCAAAAGACCTGTGGAGCCTTGGAAAGGCAAAAAAAAAAAATGGCATTGACGTCAAATTTCGTACTGGGATCGCCAGATATTTTTATTCGACGGTGAAAATCATTGAGAGTGTAATTAAAAACAATAAAATGGACTTACTGTCAATAAATAGACAAATCGTTGCACTCAAGGCACTGTAGACTACTAAATACAAGGGTGTGGGTGTTGTAGAGTAGTTTATGAAGACTATTGGAGACTTTGCTATTCCAATCGATTCACTCATGCTCGAGGCACCCGTTACAAATCTAATTCGAAGCGAAAATAATTGTTTTAGACATTTATCCTACTGCAATTAATTAATTGACAGATAAAAATGCAAAGGAACGACTGAAGTCAGTCAACAGTTGCGACTTTGGCATTTATTTCTGGATCCATGAGGGATAGCGAAATTTTTGTCAAAATCTTTTTTATAGCTCTTATTGTGCTCTATAAAAAAGGTAATGACGAAAATTTTGGTATTTCTTCTAAATTTTGAGATATCTTTGATACTTCGTACTTTCCATAATGAGAGCTGGTGAATGGAGATGCCGAGTTCCTGGGCATCGAGCCTCCATGGAGTTCCTTTTCGAGATGAGCAGGTAGCAACGTCGATACGAGGTAATTATAAACGACCTGCATGTCTTCAGGTTCCAACCCACTCCTGAAATGCATAATCTGGTGAATAAAAATTCATTTGATCCTTAATTCGAATAATTACCAGACGAGTTGATCGTTGTAGAGGAATGCTGTGTACTTGACATGTGGGAATGTAGCTTCTATGAGATTCATGAAGCACTGGACCCTCAGGAAGGTGCCCTTGTCCAGAGGAAGAAACTGGAGACCCTGGAAAATATCCAGGATGTCTCGGTGATTCAGTTTAAGGGTGAGCAAGTGCTCGGAGAAGAAGTAGTCGAGCTTGTGCTTCAGGAGAGTCACTGAACCACAGCCTGGATCCTTCAGAATCGTCTCGAATGATCCCATGAACAATCTGAATCTCGTGTAGGCTTGTTTCATTATTGCAAGACACACTGGACTCGACACCTCGTCCTGCTGGTACTCCGTGTACTCATTGCCATCTTTTGTTTTTAATAAATAGGGAACCCCGACAATCTAAAATCCATAATTTTTTCATCACCACAAAAATATCACAGATTTTTTACAATACATTTGATTTTCTGTACAATAATACGTATAATAATACGTATCAATATTTAAAAAAAAAATCATGGCATCAAATAATTAATTAGAAAAATCTAGTTATGTTGACGAGAATTTCATAGAAAGCTCGATGAAATTATTTCCAGAGAAGAATGGGGTTTTTTCTTACTAAATTTTTAATACATCTGTGATAATGAGAGATAATTACCATGACCATCCAGAAATCAGGCTCTGGCTGATAATAAATCTGCCTGGTTTTGTGCGTGTGACAGTAATCACACGTCTGTCCTGGATTAAAAGACCTGAAAACCGCCAATAATTAAATTTCCATAATCAATATTCATTTAAATCCTTAAAAAGGTAATTAAATTTACTCAGTGAATTTAATGATGGCCTCACTCAGGCCAATGTTTTTGATCTTCGTGTCGACGTCAGTTTTCTCGGGGTAATAATACAAGATCTTCTTCTCCTCCTGAAGAAAAAAGAGAATAATTGTTACATTCGATTGTTACTGGTTTTTTTTTTACATTTTCTTTACCTCCCCTTCCTTTTTAGCGTAAGTCCCATTGAATACGTAGAAATGGTCTAGTGTGATTTCAGGTTTAGACGTCATATTGGATTTTATTGTTTAAATCATGTCTTCTGGTACTCGATAATTAAATTGCATTTTGACAGCTAACCTCAAGCCACTCCGACTGATTTCACTCTTTCTTCTCTCTCACTGGGAATTCCCTCACCCCTCAAATCACTCTTTTCTCCCCACTTCGATGAACATATGATTGGGATTAGTGGAAGGGGGAAATTCATTTTTTTTTTATTATCTCGAAACTGACAGTAGAAAGAAATTGATTTTATTTCGATTTGTTAATTATTGGGAAATTCTGGAGGACTGACTAATTGTCTTCTGTATTTTTTTTAATGAAAAAAAAAAATTATGATCACGTATTTTTTGCACTTTCCAATATTTTGAAAGAGGATTTTTGAAAAAGAAAGAATTTCTGGAATTAATACAATGTAATAACAATGTAATATGATGTATAAGTAATTAATACATGAATAAATATATATTATCTCTTTTATGTTTCCAAATTGACTCCCAAAGGAATCCCAATGAATATGTACATAATCCATTAAATTCATACTAGTCTATATACAATTTCAACAATTTTCATCATCTAAAATTCAATTAGAGTTATAATCCCATGTACTGAGGCGAGGATGACAAATTATTCCTCACAGATGCGCTTTTCTTAGAGTCTTCACTGGGATGATCTCTGAAAAATAAATGAAACCATTAAACACATGCTCTTCTATTCTCCGGGATTATTTGATTATTTTAGAAAAATCCTCAGAGGTTTTTACAATAAATTGTTGAATGAACCTCACCCAAAGAATGGCATGAGGGAGATGAGGGTCTGCTTGGTGGGTCGCATGATGAAAGCTGGAGAGCACTGGGCGAGTCTCCCAACGACTCGCCTGAGCCACTGCTGGAGCTTCTGCCTCCTGTCCTCAACAAATTTGGCATCCTTATTGCCAATTGTCTTCTTTGGGGGAAATTCAAAGGTCGTGACAATCGCGTCGTGCTTCTTCAGGTCACGATGGAGTGCATAAAACTGGGCATATCTTCGATATATATTCCACTCAATATCCCTGATCCTCACGTATATCTAAAATTTATTAAAATAATAAATTAATACGTGGATTACAGGATAAATGATTTCTATTCCCATCACTTTACATTTTTAATTCAGCCTTGTGATTGAATAAATTATTTTCCAGAGTTATGCAAATTTGTCAATTAAACAGAAAAGTTGGGAATGAAAAGGATTTGTGGGAGTTGCTTACCTGATAGACGTGATGGACATCGGAGTTCTGGCCAGTGAGGAAGGCACTGGGAATCCAGATGTGAATGAGACAAGTCCCTCCCTCGTAATTCTCGTTGAGAGGTCCTCTGAGGCACTCGAGTTCAGCCTGAAGTCTCCGGACGAGATTTTCCCTGTTCCCGAGTTGCATTGTGAGTCGATTATTAAACTCCATGAGTTCAGCGTGCATTTCAGCTACCTGGACGAGCTTCTCTTGGTACTGCTGTGCCTCGAAATGATAATCCAGTCCCTCATCACTGCCCTGTCCCGAGTCAGAGTCTCTCCTGAGCATCTGGACAGCAGTCACGTACTTCCTGAGCTGCTGCCTGAGAAGTTCATTCTCTCTGTTCAACGCCTGCAGCTGGAGCTCATGTCTCTCGAGATAATTCTGATGCTGTCTCTGGAGTCTGGCGAGCTGGAGACGACTGGTGACAGCATCCTCCCTGGAATTCTCGAGGACCTCTCCCATGGCAATCAGTCGAGTTCTGAGGGCTTCGATCCCCAGCTCCCCAGGATCGAGATGGGGATCGAGACCAAGGGGCTCAGTCGCCTCGATGGCGGGCTCAGGGTCGAGATCTGATTTGAGGGACTCGAGGTAATTTGAGGAGACGAAATCGTCGAGGGTCTGGTCCAGGGGTGAAACTGGGAGTAATCCCCCCAGACTAACGTCTGTCAGGGGTGTGAGCACCCTGGAGTCCTCCTGGGTTGCCTCAGAGGGTTGCGAACTCTTCTGATCCTGCAACAACTCCTCACAGGCGACTCCAGGTGATGAAAGACCTGAAAACTCCCCTGGGGGATCTATTTCCCCTGAATTGCGGTTCTGGGGAGTCCCTGAGGGCACTGTGGCACCTGGAGGAGCTCTTCCAGAAAACGTCGGCGAAGAGCCCTTGACTCCAGGAGGACTGGTCCCTGAGGGATTCCCTGGATTTCCCTGTAATGACGAAAGAGGCTTTCTCTCCACAGAATTTTCCTGGGCTGGGGTTTCTGGGGGAATCACCATCTCCTGGGGGGCCTCTTGAATCCCAGGGGAGTTCAGACACGTGGGGGGAGCACTCAGGGACATGCAACCATTGATACTGTCGCTGTCAGAGGAAATGTCGTCGTCGAACGAGATTATGTGAGTTGGGACTCGTCTTCTGGGGCGTCCCGACGACTCCCCAGGATTTATTATCGATGATGAAATAATGGGTTCACTCTGGCAGCCATTGCGACGATCCAGCGATGAAATCCTCTCGTCCAGGTCCTCATTATCAATCCTGATTGCGAAGACTATTGTACCCAGGCCTGCAGCAACATTTGGAAGGAGTTGACTTCGTTCCTGGTCAAGGAGAAATGACCAGTCCTCGTAGAATGGATGGAGTGTGTCGCTGTTTATTATCGAGTGGAGGTGACGCTCCAGGGAACGCTCGTTCAGGGCTGCACGGAGCCATGCACGACCTCGCCCGTAATCTGTGTGAACTTTTCTCAGGATGCTGAAACGCTCCTGCTCGTGCCACGTCAGCTGTTCTTTTATGCAGGGCCAGAATGCCGGCTCTGGGGGCGATTTCGGGGTGCCTGACACCAGGTCTGAGACGTGCCTGAAGCAGGGAGTAATTCAAATTCAGGATTTTTAAAAATGATCTTTTTATGAATATTTAGGAAATTATAAATTTTCGATTTCACTAAATTTTCCATTTTCAATGGATAAAATAATTATTAAATAATCAATGATTAAGAATGCCTTGAATTGAATTGAATCGGATATCGATTGAATTCCGATGGAGTTTATCATGTAAATGTGAATTTTTGAGATGACAAAGTTAATGAGAGGATGAATATTTTATTGATAATACCGAAGTGCTAAATTGAGCTTGTCAATCCCCTTTGTTTTCAATCCATGACGAAGAATTGCCTCAAAGGCCTGACACAATTTGGAGACGCATTGATCTGACTCAGTGGCCAGCTCCATTCTACCCCCGAATCTCACGTGACAGGATTTAGCTGCCCCCAGGACCTCCTCCTGGAGCTTCTGCCTGTCAGCCCCATGGTTTACTTCTGGAGGAGTTTCCGAAGGATTCGGCACCATCGCTGACATCATACGAAGAGCCTAACACAAAAAATCCTATTTCTCTCACTACCTAAACATTAATATTTTCAATTTACAATGATAACCAAAAAAATTAGGAAAAAAAAAAAATTTTAATTCAGCAAATAATTTTCTGATTTGGCCAAGAAAATTGGGAGTTGAAAGAGGAAAATTTATCGATTTCCTGTGATTTTTCTCGTGAGTTCCTCGAGAAATTGGAAACCTGTTGTCAAATTCTTTCATTTTCCTCGTCATAAATCAATAAAAAACGTTTACCATTTATTCTCGGTGTGATCAACGGCAGCAATAAATGTCCTTGATGTCCAGTGTCTCTAATCAAAGGCCATGTGTTTCCCACATTCGTCACCTTTTTCCCCCGAGAAAAATACGCAGCTTATTGTGACAATCAATGATCAAGCATTATTTTACAAGTGAGATCAATATGAGCTGAAAAATTTCTCAATTCCCTCGTGAATTTCACTCTCTCTTCAGCTCGATCGTCTGTCAAGGCCTTCTGGGCAGGCGGAACTGGATGAAACTGTCAGTCTGTCAAACACCAGTGACTCCCACGGGAAAACCTCCCACTGTCAATTTTCCCTCGAAATTCGACAACAATTGGCACTGAACACTGATTTTCCGATGGCTTGACAGCCATACACGAGAAAATTGTGACTGATTTTTGCCCGCTGAGGGGCAGATCATCTGCATCTGCCCCGAAGAGGATTGACTAAAGTAGAGGCCATGAAGAATAGAGTAAGGAGGCCGAACAGTAGTGGGAGAATTTTCTAAATGTGTGCCACAAAGTGGTCAAGGAATGTAGTTCCTCTAGATAGCACCGTATAGCGCTGACGTCGCTCGGGTCTCACATGTACATAATAGATGTTTCATGTATTGGTGCCCTGATGTGATTTGAGAATTGTATTCATGCAGTGTTATTATTGTTAAATTGGCCGATTAGATGTTTTTTTATTCACGCTAAAATAGTTAAAAGTTATTGGTGAGAACAAAGATGAGGAGGGTGTGTGCATTTCCTGGTTGTAAATCAGGAGCAGCAAATGATAAAAGACACAATAAATCGGGTGGAGTGCGTAATAAAAGTTTATTTAAATTTCCACATCAGGTTTGTATTAATATTCGTTTTTCCACATGAGCTGCTAGGAATTGCAGTACAGAAGAAGGCGAGTTACTACATAATCTGTCTTATAATCGGCAAAATGGACAAAATGTTACAATTGCGTTGAAAGTGTTAAATCTACGGAAAAGAGCAATCACAGCAATGCATTAATTTCAATGTTATCACGTGGATATTTGATATATCCTTCAGCAGATTTAGTGCAATTGGTTGAAAAAATGGAAAAGAAGGTGTTGAAAACAGTAAATTCCACCGGCATTAACTGTGATACAGTTTTTCACATTAGTTATGCTCTTCAAGAGACGTCGCTTCCACTAGTTGGGTGCACTGAGCATAAGAAATCGTTCACTACGCAAATTATGAAATTTTTCATAAGAGTACGAGCAGACTTCTTGGCAAGAAGATTCAACAAACTCCATTCTGCTAACAAATTGAAGACTCGTAAATGTAGGAAGGACTCAAAGCTTTAAAAATGTTAGTTATATACCAAAGAGACTTTTATAAACTAGCAATAATTATCTAAACTTCATGTTGCATAATAAACATTTATTGGTGAGATTATTTTTATTACAATGATTATTTTTACAATTCCTTTCACAAAATTGAAACTACGGACAATAATTATGCAATATCCAAACGAAGAATGTTGGATTAAACCGGAATGGGATGTTAATTTATTATATACAATTTTTTCATCATTCCAGGAGTCTTCATTCTATAATTTTACTCCATTCAAAAGCTTTATGATACCCGATACATTCTCCACGGATTGAACTTTATCAAATGTTATCCATGGTATTGATTTATTTTTATAAGTTATGTTAACTTCTAAATTGTTTTCTACGATAATTCGCATGCCCTCTCTATAATTGTCCAATATTTCAACAAAAAAAACGCAATCTTCGTATCTTACATCAGCCCAATTGCGTGGTTTTTCGACCGATTTTATATTATTGTATAAGTCCTGGAAAGTAAATTTTAGAGTAGTGCAATCATGCAGTTGTTGAATTCTTGAATTATTCGCCATGTTAATCACTGGAGCAGATTTGTGACAATAATATACAATTAATCGTTACTAATAGTGACTATTATCTACAATTCATACGTCTTATCTACAAATATAACATTGAATTTACATTTCTAGAATATTAGTTACAAATTTCACGATGCAATGCTTCAAATCACGATGAC